TTATCTGCTCAATTAGTCACGGAAAAATGAGGGAACAAGCCTTATCTGGCAATAAAACTGCACAGCAGTAAATTGTTCAATTGCTTTATGCATCTGAAAACGAGGGACTTTGTATAAAAATGGCTTAATTCCTAAACAGTTAATATAACACTTCTGTGAACCCCTTGAATTAAGGTTGAAATCTTGACTTCAGTCAAGTTGTGATTATTTGGTTAATAGTATCCACTTGGACCAAACTGTATATATAACAAAAAGGAAAAGAGCTTTTGTTTGTTAAGCTATTGAGTAAATGTGAAAACACTGACAGTGAATGAGCAGTTTAGGCATTTCCTTTGTTTTTTGTTGGTTTACTTATGAATAATTTTCTTGTTAACTTGCAGGCTTTGGCTCCCATTAAAAAGATATTTCAGAGCCCTTTCAGATCCAGGAGTATCCCTCTTCTCATCATTTTCTACTCAATATCTTTTGGGTAAGATATGGGCACCTATACATTCAGGCTTTGCTTCAGCTCTGTTCACACTGTTCAGCTGCTGGGGGATTGTATCAGACTTATAAAAATAATACTACTAATGTGAGATAACCATTTGATATGCATCAAGTGATAGGGAACAATTAAATGGCAAACTCATATTTGCACGTTCTACTGTGGTTTTCTTATTTCTTCTTTTTTTACATTTTAAAACTTTCACACTTCACCCTTTATTCTAAATCAAAAGTTAAAATCTTTTGTTTGTGTGTGTGTGTGTGTGTGTGTGTGTGTGTGTGTGTGTGTAGTTACTACGGGCTGTGGATGTGGTTTCCTGAGCTGTTTGAGAGAACCGAAGACGGCGGCTCGCCCTGCGCAAATGTGTCCCGCCCGTCTGTAGCGGCCAATGAAACCTGTAACACGGTCAAGACAGCAGGTGTGTTTCAGAGGATTCATGCTCATATTAGTGTTTTCATCCAGGCATCGCTGCTCACGGAGGCCAAGAAATCAGCTTTAACATTGACAGGAGTCAGTTTTTACAATACTTGGAAAGGAAGAGAAAAGCAAATATTTGAAACTTGCAACAAGTGCAGGACACTTCTGCTTTACTCTTTAACCTGCTTTAATGTGACTTCCTAACAAGCTTAAAGCACCAGCTGACACTGGACTCACTCAGGAAATTTCAGGAAATAACTATTAATGTGTTGTGTTTTATTTGTTTTTTCTGGTCCATCCATATCTCGCCACATGCCTTTCTCCTGTCCACACTCGTCTTCCTGTATTTGTCTGTTACCTCACAGTATATACGGATGGCTTCATCACAGCCGCGGCAAACCTGCCGGGTAACATCTTCACTATTCTTGTGATGGACAGCACCGGAGGAAAGGCTCTGCTTTGTGAGTTTTTTTTTTTCTTTCACAAATCAATATGTTTTCATTTCTTAACACTCTCCCATACATGTTGCATATAATCATAGGTTGTGTATAAAAAATAATAATTAAAGATCATAGCAGAGCCAATCCAGGAGAGCCATTCCACTTCACAGTAACCCACAGAAATTGTGGCCACAGCAAGTGGTGCTCAAGAAACAGTCCATGGAGTGAATGGAGCTACACAGCTAAAATAATTGACATCTTGCTAGATGTTATTTAAGTTTTTGCAAATTTAATGCCAATCATATATCTAAGGCAAAATAGAGCAACACATGTACTTTTTTAATTTTATTTTTAGATGAATGGATTAAAGATACTCCAGAAACAACTGAGAGGTCCAGTCCATGAATTAAGCTGTCATTAAAACACCCATAATCATGCTTAATAGAATAAAAAAACGTTTATAGGAAATTCTATTTTCGTAACAGTCTGTTCTGCTGTAACGTTGTAACATAGAAGTCAGAGAGAATTGACTCGCGTTTGGAGCCAACCTCCAGTGGACATTCAGCTTTATTTTTCCGGCTTGTTTCTTGTAAATAATTTATTCTCTGAATTTGTCAGTGAGTTGACCCTTGATAGCATAAAATTTGTCCTTTTAGAGTTCGTCACTGCATATCACTGTCTTTAACACAACCCATTCATAGTTAAGCAAACGCTCCATCTTCATCTTCAAAAGCTTTGAGTCACGATTAAAGAAGCTCTCACACTACAAACAAATGTAGAAAATCAGAAAACCGAGCTGCTACAGAACACCCACCTTTAAGTCAGTGTTTAACAAAAAAATCATACATTTCTTCATCTTTGTTACTTTCTCCAGCCGGCAGCCTGTTGTTGTCCAGTCTGAGTGTCTTCTTCATCTATGTGGTTCAGACCAAAGCTCAGAGTCTGATCCTGTCCTGCATCTTCAGCGGGGTGTCCGTGATCGCCTGGAATGCGCTGGATGTCGTAGGAACTGAGCTCTACCCGACAAAGCTACGGTAACTCGAAACTCAGATTCAGCCATGTATAGAAATGTAAATCAAACTAAGATTTCTTTTTTTGTATTTTTTTTAATTGATTCACTCATCCATCGAGGTGTTTTATTCTAACTCAGAGAGGTCACATGCACATATACTGAATCTCTTTTCTTTCCATTTTTCTCTCAGGTCCTCTGCTCTTGGTTTCTTCACAGGCGTGGGCCGAGTGGCAGCGATCATGGGTAACTTGGTCTTTGGAAGGTTGGTGGATGCAAACTGTGCTGTCCCCATCCTGCTGGTGTCAGCCCTGCTGCTCACTGGAGGACTGGTGGGTCTTCTACTTCCACAAACCAGGCAGACAGAGCTCACATGAACACTCGCGTTGTTTTAAATGGATTCAGCTTCCTCTTAACATCCTCACAGATGGGTAGAACGACTTGAAGCTCTGTAATCTCTGTATTTCCTGGTTGAATCCTGTGCCTTCTGTCATCTTTTTCTATGGTGCCTAATTTAAAAATTCCACTGCTAAAACAAATTGTTAAACAACAGTTGGCTCTCTCTGCCTTCCAAGAATTACTGCGTTGGAAAGCTGAGAAAGAAGTGCCAGTGTGTTATTAAAATCCTGGACACCTGTAAAAAGTTTATGTAAATGACAAAACCCTATATTCAAAGTGAGAAAATGGGGCCTTATTATCTGGTTTACTGAAGAGTGATGGATCGACTGTAGGTCTTGTGTTTTTGCTTTCCTGTCATGTTTAAGAAACTAGTTTTGTATAGTGAGTACACTGTTCTCATAAAGGGCTGAACGTGGACAGCAACAATACTCAGGTAGGCTCTGTCATATAAATGATGGTACTAAGGGGCCCAAAGTGTGCCAAGAAAATATCCCTCACATGTTTACACCATCACCACCATCCCAAACTGTTGATACAAGGCAGGATGGATCCATGCTTTCATGTCGTTTACACGAAATTCTGACCCTACCAGCCAGATGTTGCAGCAGATATTGAGACTCATCAGGCCAGCCAACACTTCTGTTTTCTAATTTTGATGTCTTATCCGACAGGAAACTCAATTAAATATAGTATATTTAATTGAAGTATATAGTATATTATTTTATTCTATTCTGTACAGCTGTGTACTGTATTTATTCTTATTGTATTCTAATTTTTGCCTCATAACTTTTGCACTGTCCACTTCCTGCTGTGACAAAACAAATTTCCCACGTGTGGGACTAATAAAGGTTATCTTATCTTATCTTAAAACAGCTGTCTGTCCAAATGCTCAGTTTGAACTTAAGTAGGTCGTCTTGACCATGTCTACACGCCGAAATGCACCCAGGTGGTGTCATGTGATTGGCTGATTAGATATTTGCCTTAATAGCAGTTAACCAAGTGTACTCAATAATGGGGCCAGTGAATGTATATTATGTCACAGTGGAGGATGCTCAAATTTAGTCTTATGCCTTGTCCCTAATAGGACCTACTCAGGGACATGGCTCTGGCTTTGAGCACACAAACCCTCACTCAGGCTGCATTCAAATCTTCTGGATGTGAGGCTCAGCCAATCCGAGAAGGCTGACTTAAAGCAGCTGCAGTTTTTTGTCATGTCTCTTTTGAATTGTGAAAAAACAAGGCCAAGTGTAAGATAAGTGCTATTAGTTTTTTTTTTTTTTTTAATCATTTTTAACTGTGAGTCATGCTAAGCTGTATTAGTGCAATCTAAGAATAAAACCATGCAGCTAGAAAAAAAAGTGTTTTAATAAGTTGCCTTCAAATATATGTCTGAATAAATGGCCTTGTATGATGTTTTTGGAGGTTCATGACCTGCATAGGTGGTGTAATCAGCCAAAGTATCATAGCAAATGGGTTCCAAAACGTCTATACTTATGCACAGAATAGATTTTAGTAGGTTCAGTCTGATATTTTCCTGCACAAACTGGATCGGGCAAGTTTAGTTCAGTTTGAGTGGAAAACCAAAGATTTCAGAGTGCAGTGATGGGAAAGGACCAAATCATTTACAGACTACCTTAATATCTTCCTGAGAGACTACATCGATGATCCTATCAGGGATTTTGTAAAAATTTAAAGCAGATTTACAATTATTTTGTAATGCCTTAATCAGGTTTTTAAATAAATGCAGCTTTTTCTTCATCTCACATGTGTGTTTTTGCTGTTTTGTTGTATGAAATAAAAAACAAGAAAGACTTCCCACATCCTTCCTACGTCTCTTTACCATGACGTCGATGAACAACTTCATGAGGTCAAGGAAAGGTGTGAAGGAAAGTTTTTAAGGTCTTAGGAAAAGAGAAGCAGTCATGCTACTAATGTGTTGCTAGCTAACCTCATTATTTGCAAAATGTTCATCCAGCTGTTTCTCTTTAATACCACTTTGTTTACCAGCTTTTTGTTACTTTTAACTTTCGCGCTGAAATTTAGTAATTAAGAAATTGTGCTCCAGGGTTTTAAATGTCACTACAAAGATGCCGAACAGATGGACGAGTTCGATTTCAGCAAATACAGCAGGCTTTTTACAACTTCTGTTTTACTCTTCCTTATTCAAAATGCCAGTCTTGCTTCCTTCAGTTAAGGCAGTTGTCTGTGGTCGATTTGAGTAAAGACCATAAAAAAGTAGACACACGCAACACCATATCTGTACTTTTATTTGTATAACTATACTTGTAATACCTCAGGACCACATTTCACAACCACACACGGGTATGAGGAACTGTACTTTGGATATTTTGAAAGCAGATGAAACATATGGCCCTACGTATGATTTGGAGAATAGAGTTCACTCTTTTCTGTATTTTTACTTTTGAAAGTAGACTTTCTTATTGTTTACTTTCATCATCATGGCTGCTGGAGCGAACGGGCAAATAACAGACAATGCGAGGAGTACGTTAAAGGCCAAAATAAAGTCCTTTCACTACTCCTGTAGCTTTGGAAGATTACAGTTACAGTTTCCAACAGTAAAAAGAAGTGCACAGATACTGCTAGAATTAAGAAACATGCGTCTGCAGCACAGATGAGGATATTAAAAGGAAAAAAGGGGCATCAAATGTAATTAGCCACGAAACCAGCCTGACCACTGAGATGAAAAGCAACACTTAACTTGAAAATCACGCACATTATCTTCAGCACATACTCAAACATAATCTAAATGTTTCTTTACTAAATCAACTTTATGGAAAGCTGAATGGGTTGAGTTTTGTTTTTGTGAATATTTCACTTCAAAGCTTCATTGTGTTATTTACTAGTAAATATAGGCTGAGTTTTCTGAAAATAGAAATCTAAATGAATGCATTGATATTTTTGACAAATATTTATCTTTGCTGTATTGCCAAAAATCAGTTAAGTCTCATTTGGGAAAGCTAACTCTATAGCTACAGATAGCAACCCATTAGCTTGACACAAAACACGAGAACTGCTAGCTTTGCCTTCTCGGAAGTTAATAAAAATTAGAAAAATATGCTACAGCTCTATGGTCAATATATTACTTCCTTTATGCACATAAACAAACTGAAGACACAACTACCACCTCATTAAATGTAGAATGACTTACAGTAAATGCTTGTCTACAAGACTCAGTTGAGAATTTAGTGGGCAAAAATCCTATTTTTTTACAGTCCCGATTCACTTATACGAGAATATCACCAGCAGATAAATCATTTATCCAAATGATCATTAGGAAAATAATTTGCTGATATTCGTTAAGTATTTTTGTTGGCGTTGGGGTTAAACGCTGGGTTTAATTCACAGCAATCAGAGAAAAGCAACCAAAAAAACATTTCTGTATAATCAGCATGAGGATTTTGGTGATTTTAATGTGCTTCATGATGATGTCAAGTCAAGTGTTACAGTTTTTAATCAAAAGCGCTACTTCTTATTGTTAGGCTGATACTCACTCACACACAGACACACACCACACCTTACAGTAGTACTGCATTGCATGTTGCAATAAAACAGCATGTATACATTTCAGCTTTTATCAATGCCCCACTTACTGTGATGAACATGTGCACTTTGACAGCTAACCACATGCTAAAAATCACCAAATTATGAGATAAAACTCTGGGGAATTGTTCATTAATATTATACCAAAATCACATAGTTGAGGTTGAATGGTAGCCGTCTTAGATCAGCAATCTTCTTGTATCTTGTAATGATTTCAAATAACTGTGACAGTGCCACCCGATTTGAGGGAATATGATAGTCTTTTACCCACTCCGTCTATCTCAGAGTATCTCTCCATCTTAAAGCAGTTTGATAGCCCCTCAAACCAGTTGCAGCAGATGGATGCCCATCCAGAGGAAAAGGGAGTTTTTCTTGCTCACAGGGGGCATCTGATTGTTGGGATTTACTCTATATTGTTGTAAGATTTTTATCTTTTGTTGTGAATTGTAGCTATATAAATAAAATGAACTGAACTGAAAGTTGTCTCATCTTCATGTTAACACCATAGAAAGACCTCCTTTAGTTCCGACGAAAACCTGTGGAGGTCCAGTCTTTCCCCAGCGTATGATGTTGCTCATTTGTCATAGAGATGGTTTAGTCATTACTTGATATACATAAAGTTGGAATAAAAGCAAAAAGTATATAAAACCAGCAGTCGCAATGTAGATGGGATTATTTCAGTTTCCTACACATGGATTAAATCTAGCCTGAGATTTAAAAAAAGAAAAATCAAGGGAGCTCGTGAGTGAGCGACGTTTATGGTGTAGGACCACTTTATTGGGAAAATAAAGTGTCCTGATCGCCAAGAGTCACATATTCTTACTGCACAGTGTTAATAGCCTGAACCTAGTGAACATCTTACTGCACATGTTTTTGTTTATTTTTTGCTCACCTAATCTTTGTAAAACCTGACTACAGCATTAACAGAAGGCGGATGAGTCCAGTTACTACTACTGATTGAAGATTCTTCTGGATTTTTTTTGAAGATGTGTCCTACTTCAGATTTTATTATGTACCAGGTGAGAGCACAGAAAAATCTAGCATCACAAATTGGATTTGAATATCACGGATGACTTAGTCGTCGCTGTAGCTGATTTTGATTTCACAAATGATGAAAAATGCAGTTTATTCAGTCTTTGTCGATGACAACTGAGCAACTGCCTCCACTGAGGAAGATCACAGGCTGTGGCTGAACGTTTCAGAGCCACTGTTTTTTCTCAAAGTCAAGAATAAACCTGCAGCCTCGATTAATGTTTATCCAGGAAACAAATTCTGACATTAACTTTATACTAAAGAAAAGAAGGTTTAGATTAAGTAAATGTGAGTCCAGTAAGTCCAATTAGCTCCTCAAGGAAAGAAAAAAAACCCCAAAACGTTCGGAAATTAGTATTTTTGGAAAGTCAAGTAAAAACATTCAGGTTCAGTTTTAATTGTCAGGTCCAGGTGTGGCATTCACTGTCTCTGGGAGTCATTTCTAAAGGTTTGGGGCTCTTCTAACAAAACAAATGTTGTGGAAGCTTCCTCACTGACACGGCTCGCAGGAGATGCTACACTGACAAGTCTTAGATGATATGTGAGGGATGGCTGAAGTACAGGTGGAGGCGGAGTTCAAAGCTGGAGAGATGGTTCGCGTCACTGCGTTAGAGCCTGGAGGATGTCTTTCACCAGCATCGTGCCGATCACCATTTTCTCACAGTTGACCGTCAGCTGGGCGGCTCCTTCCTCTTTGGTTGCCACGGTGACCAGCACCAAGCTGCCACTGGTCACCGTCCTGCCTGCAAACCTGTGGACAGGATAATCAGGAGGAGGAACAGGAGGACTGAGGTCAAGGCAGCAAAGATCAAGAAGTAAAGATGAAGCCACAGAACAAAGAAGGGATACACATCGCGTGAGTCAGTGAGACAAAAATATCATCTGTGAAACACAACGAGTGCAAAATTAGTGCAAAAAAATGTTTTTGGTTTTCTTTTCTAGAAATTTTCTAGAATACTCTGATCAACATTCTCAGAACTGCATCAGATCCTACTTCAAGTCAGCTGATTGTGAATATATGTGTAACCCTTTCCCCCCCTAAAAGCTTGAACAGCTGATGCTGTATCAGGTTTGTACAGATGATGTAGTGGTTCCTGAATGTCACAGTCACAGGCTTTTGTCATGTATTTCTTGTGTTTTGTGTCTGTGTTAGATTTGTTGGTTTTGTTACTTTCTTCTGCTTTCTGCGTTTCCTGGTGTCTGTCATCATGTTTAACGTCCACACAGGAAGCAACTTTTTTCCAGTGTTTCCTTCTATTATTGTAGATCTTTACCTTACAATATAAAGCACCTTGATGCAACTGTTGTTATAATTTGATGGTATATAAATAAAACCGGACTGAACTTAAACTAACAACAGTCCAACTACTTATGACCTTAAGATTTTCAGATTTCCTCTCACTCAAGCACACATTGTAATTTAAATAGGACTAAATGTTATTAGTTCTGTGATGTAGATAATGTCGTTGTGGTCATAAATGCTAATCCCCTTATATCTTGGATTTTTGAGACCAGATGTCACAAAGGAGAAGTGGATCTGATGGAGAAATAAAAAACACAGCCTACTTATTGTCATGTCAAGGTAGATCCTCCTGACAGCATTTGCTTCTTTATCATTTATTTTACTCAAGCTGGAACTAAAATTTATAGGTGTCTGAAAAATGTACACTTTGTTCCTTTAGTGCAGACCCTCCCAAAGTGTGGGGCCCGCCCCCTAGGGGCAGAGCCACTGCGGGGGGGGGGTATGAAAATATGAAAAGGGAAAAAAAACAAAAAACAAAAGCAATGCTTGGACACTGCTAGCACGGGGTGCCCACAAAAACGCAAAGCAGGAGATGAAGCATCGCTGAATATGTTTCCAAACCAACTTCATTCTAAGCCAAAGACTAGAAAATATGGTGAAGCATATCTGCCCTTTGGCTTCACCTGCACAAGTGCAAAGGTAGGTCTCCCCTGCTTAATTGCTTTTCCTGATCCTGCCACGATTTGTTCCCCCGGTTCAAATCCCGGACAAACAGTATCTCACAGTTGTTTATTTATCCTCCTTGAGGAGCCCATTTTGCACAGAGAGGCATTTTTTGAAAAATGTATTGATAGCAATGTTGAATATTATTACACAGGAAAAAAACAACTACATGTAAAATAAAATACTACATGACGCCTCTGCCTTTCTAAATAGAGGGACAGTAACTGCGCGTGTATGTGTAAGCGTGTAAATACTGCAGATAGAGACAAAATACTGTTAATCTGACTATCTGCCATTCTGCAATTCACCTCATGTAAACAATAACGTGGCGCACAGCGTGACGTGAAAAAAGGCACATACCTTTGACGTTGCGTGAGGTACTCTGTATTCCTCGTCCACACGTAAACGCAAAAAAGGAGTTTTAAAAAAAAATCTCCGTTTTCGGTGATTCCAAATGCCGTTTACGTGTGGACGAAACAGCTGCCTTTTCAAAAATACCCGTGCAGGTGTGGACGCAGCGTAAAAGAGTTAGTAGTTTATTTTATTGCTACCTGTAATATATTGCAGATTACTTGTATTTGCTTAATTGTTTACTAAATGTTTGAGGTGTGAAATAAACCGCAGTGGAGCAAAATATGGGTGTGTGTGGTTGGAGGATGTGTGCGTGCGTGTGAGTGTGAGTGCATTTTTCTTGTAAAACAAAGGGGGGCCCAGCAAAAAAAGTTTGGGAACCACTGCTTTAGTGGATTTTTAAAATCTGCGTAAAATACGTGAAGCCACACTTTTAAGGTGATTTTTTAAGCTGATCTTGGCAAAGATCTTGTTCCCAAATGTGTCCTTCGCAGAAGACAAACACCACCCAGAGTGCTATTTGCATTAAAAGGTGGCTCAGATAACAAGACGTGTTTGCTCAGGAGTGATTTTTCTCACCTGCACTCTTTATCTGACCCACAGGGCACTCTGCTGAGGTTGGCAGCGGTGGTCACTCTCTGGACGATGGCGTGTTCGTTTCGGCACTTGACGTCCAAAGTTAGTTTCTCTGTGATCTCGTTCATGCCCATCAGCTGACCTGTGGAGGTTGTAGGAGCAGAGCACTGGTCAGACAGGAATCCTCTCCCTCCCAGCAGCAAAACAAGCAAAGCAGTTAATAATCTTAATAATAATAGTAGTAATAATAATAATAATAAGAAGAAGAAGAAGACAACATGTACAGTAACAGAGTTCATTTTTTAACCATTGCTATTCTTTTTCAGGGTATCTGCTAGCTTCAGACATGTACAGTATTATATACATATACTGTACAATGCAGTGAACATTGCTAAAGTTCTCAGAGGGACTGATGTAATATTCAGTACATCAAGAACTGTAAATGCTACTAACACTTAACACGGGAATGTACTCATGCTTCCCACTGAACACAGGATTTTGTTGGTGAATTTACAGCACAAAAGAAGCAAATTTCTGACTGCTAACCAACTCGAGTCACCATTTTCCAGAGTATTTCCAAAGACAGAAATTCTGGTTGAAAGAGGTATTCAGTACTAATTTTCTCACTTGTGCGAAGATGGCTTGTAGAGAGCAACTGTTTGGTGATTTGCTGGTCAAAAGACGCCTGGATGTCCAGGTTAAAACTAGTATTTCAGTATTATATATCAATACTGCTCTGATGTAAAACAAGTCCTAAAATCGCTGCAATAATAAGTCAAGTGACAGAAAACTTAAATTCAGAAAATTTAGCTAAAACAGACTGCAGTCCGTTCGTAGTGTTAGTGTCTATGCATGCTTCATTTGAACTTTTTTATAACACCAACCCAAATTTAATAAAATCGTAGCTCCTTGCCAAGAGGTTGTGCAGTAAGTTGTGTGAGGGAGCACAAAAAAACAAAATAGGGGAAAAAAATTTAAATTGCACAAAATGTTGTGGGTCCCACAGAAAACCAGTCAAACGTTTACTTTAACTGCTCCCCACAAACAGAAATTTATGTTTTCTCTATTACACTTACAGGTAGATATAAAGTGTTTCCACAGCAGGAACTTTTTGTAGTATTTAAGAACTAAACCTGCATAAGGATTGTTTCAAGTCACAGCACAGGCATTATAAAACAGATATTTAAGGAACAACCACAAAGTCCCTCCCCCTAACTGAGAATGGTTCCCATTTTTATTACAACTGTCACCACCAGGGGCAGTGTTATACCAGTGAGTGTGGTGAAATGTTTTTGGATGTGTGCTGCTCTCTCAGACTTTAGCTACTTTTGGCCTTTTTCTCAAGGGGTCACACAGATGGATCCACATGCTTGATCTCTCATGTATACGAGTGAATATACTGAACAGTGTATAGAATCAGACTGCCAATGTAAATAAAAATGCAAGGAATGAAAGGTTACATGGACTTATTGCGCCATCTTGTGGTATGACCTGGTATTACAGGAGAGTAGGTCCCGCACTAGTTCAGCTTTGACTGATATCTCAACGCAACACTCAGATGTTTTGGACCTAAAGTCACAGCTAATCTGTTTCTTTAGATTAGGTCAATATCTTTGGCTCATTTTGAAAGGGTGTAAATCACTATTTAACAAACGTATTAACAATAGTTTGTTAAATAGGTTCCTTCAGTTCCCAGATCCTGATCTTAGTTCCTGGAACTGGTTAAAAAGGGGCTGAAGTTTTGTTTAAAAGTGACCAAAAGTCTGAACTAAATCAAATATTTGCTGATTTAAAAACTAGACCTCAATACGAATTAAAGACATTATCATTTCCTCTTGAATGACTATAACCTGGTTTTAACTGAGATGTCAAGACCTCTTTTGACCTGCAAAACAAAACCCAGTGCCAGTTAGACCGATGCACTACAAGATGACCAACAGTTCAAACTCCCAGCATGGTTGGTGGTTATCAGAAAGCACATGATCGAGTGCTGCTGTGAGCCAGATGTATATGTGAAAGAGTGAATGAGGATCAGTGGATGAGCATTTCCAGCCATTCCTGGTGGAGCAGGAGAGTGTGAGCGGCAGGTTTGCAGGTGTCTGCAGCTACAGACCCGGAGATGCAGTTAAGTGTTGATTACCCAGGCAAGAAGGGAGGAGGGGGAGTCAGCACGAGGTGTTAAAGGAGGAGGGAGGAGGGGAATGGGAGGAGGGGGTGGTCTGTGTGAGGATGAGTTTGGCTATAGGAAAGGTGGCACACAGACAGCTGGGAACAACAAATCTATTAAAGCCAACTTACCTAGATTGTGTAATAGCTTCTCTATTGGGGAGAGTATGGAGAGGGAGGAACCGTGGATATGACACATGTTTAAAGAGTCATTGTGGGCTTGTTAGAGCTCAAAACTCGATCACTGTTAGGATGGAAAACGAACACCAGAAACCAGAAACATGCTGGGAACTGCTGTCTGCAGCTGCTCTACCATACACCGTCTAATGCAAACCTTTGGTTTGTATTGGTGGATTGAATGTAGCTGATGGACAAAAAACTGTTTCCTGCTCTGGAGGAAGGATGATGTGGAGACTCAGAAACATCAGGCAGTTACTTTGATGTTTACTGCATGTGGCAAATGACTTGCTCGCAATGTTATAAAAGAAAAACAAAACAAAACACACATTTGGAAAAGTGAAATATACTTTCTAATTAAAAGGTCCTCATTTCATCGTGTCACACTATATGATGCACATTATCAACGGGTGACTGAGCATCACTGCATGCTTTCCTCTCTGCGTAACTGTTAAAGATCAAAGTGCAGATCTCAATGTCTTTGATCAGCAGCAATTTTTTCATTTGTATTTTCATTGATTGACTGTTCAAAAGTTGCAGCTATCAAATCAAGTCAAACCTGAAGTTTCATGTATGTGCTAACTTTTTAACTTTAGATATTCAGCATGTGGTTCCCACACGACTTCAAACATTTAACCCCATCACAACCCCATTTCATTCACAGTCTAATGAAATGAGCGCTATATTTGAACAGAATATATGAAGTGTATATTCAGAGTAGACTACTAACACTCAGGGACAAAACTTATGAGTTGCAGTGCTGCAGCATTAGCTCACTGGTTAACATGTTAACAAGCTCCCTGTTTGGACTATGCAACATTTAAAGATGTGTTGGTGTCAAAGCAGCAACTGAGACAGTGGTTTAGGGTCGCAACATTCAGGACATCAGAAATATTTTGTGGCCTATTTTCACTCACCTTGTTCCTTTTTAAACTCGTTCTCTGTCAGGAAGACGGGCCTCATCAGCTCCCCGACAGGTGGCTGGATCGACACGAAGAATTTCCTGGTGTGAGTGCTGAAAAAGGAGGAACGGTAGTGTCAGGGATTTGTATTTCGTCTTTTGTTCTTAAACTTCAAAGTTTCCCAAACAGCCCTTACCCTGGTGGGATGACAGAAGTGGAATAAGATTTTTTTAATTATACAAGTAAAATATCTGGTCTGACAGTCTGGTGGTAATTTTATGACTGTTTTCAAAACAACAGGAAACTGAAAAATGTCCATCAGTATTTCTCAAAGCTTCAGTAGGTGTCATCAATATGTTATGCAAAACCCCCAAAGATTCAAATCAGTAAAGATTAGTAAAGAGTCAATGCAAACTTTCAAAAGCTGCAACTATTAAAGCTTGTGTCCGATAACAGCAATACTTTGGCGAGTTGTTGAGCTTTTTAGTCAGTTAAGCTAGGGTGACCATATTTTGATGTCCAAAAAAGAGGACACTTGGCTCAGTCATGAAGAACTTGCTTAAAGAAACATATTTAAACGATGCCTTCTCTGTGCGTAGAGCTGGGCGATAGAACGATAACGATATGTATCGCGATATAACTTTTACTCGATAGAGAAATTAAGCTATCGCGATAGACCTCGCCGCTCTTGTCCTCAAAGAAAAAAAAAAAAGGTCAGCCAATCCAAATTAAGTAGCGCAGAGCCGAACCAATCACAGCCGCAGCGTCACGTCGCGTGGCTTGTTACGTACAGCACAAGTGCCAAGCCGCAGGCACGTGTGTTTGTTTGGGAAGCAGCCAGCGGGTAATGGAGCCAGCACGTAATGGAGGAAATGAGTGTGCCGACTAGAAAAATCAACCGAGCGTGACCGAAGAGAAAACAGATGATGGTTCCAATGCCGGAGAGATTGTCGAACGGAAGAGCCATAGAAGTTCTGTAGTGTGAAGGTATTTCGGCTATTTCAAGTCTGACAAAAAACAGAGTAGCGTGCACTGTAAATTGTGCCGAAAACAAGTCTGGAAATACAATAAACTGGTGCATGCGTCACACTGTGCGCCACGTTATTGTTTCGGTGAAATTAATTTCTACAATACTGTTAATTCTACTCTCTGCAGTGTTTAAATGCTTACATATACACACAGTTACTGTTCGTCCACACATACGACTCTGTTCTGCTTCTATGCCCCAGCTTTGTTTACTTTTTCCCACCGAGGCTTCTAGACTTCTGATTGGCCAACATTTCTGCACGGTTAGGAATCTAGCGCCACCTGCTGCTTTGGCATGTTCATAGCAGCGTTTTCCTTCATTTCTGCCTTTATGTGTGGACGGGATTATTTTTTAAAACGAAAACGGAAAATCTCCGTTTTCAAAAATACCCGTGTACGTGTGGACGTAGCCTCAGTCTCTGACTGGAAGCGCTAATTCGTCATTCGGCTTTTGTCAGACTAAAGTAACTGTTAAAACTGTTTGAAAAGCTCAGCTATACAACAAGGAGAGATTGAGAATTTCCTTTTAGTTCTCAGTTTATTTGATATTGACAAAAGTTAGTCAGTTTTGTCTGTTCTTCTGTAAAACAAACTAAGATTTATTTTTAGAATTAATATTTTGTTTCTAAGTGGAATTGACAATTTAGTCTGTTTTGTTTGTTCTATTTTGAAACTTAAACGCTTTAGCGGCTGCCTTTTGTGTAGTTTGCAATATTTGCCTTTATTTATCTGAAAAAGTCTCATGTTCCTTAAGTACATCTACCCTGTTGAACTTATTATGGGAAATAAATATTTAAATAAAAACAAGCTGCTGATTATTTCACATTTTACTTGTGAGCAACGGCACATTTAAATCTTACAAATATAGTTATTTGGCTTATATCGTGATAGATATCGTTATCGCCTGAAATGAAAAAAACATATCGTGATATGAAAAAATCTCATATCGCCCAGCTCTCTCTGTGCGGTTAATGAATTGTGAAATAAAATCTGTCATATAGGACCTTACAAGTCAACAAGTGCAAAGAAAATAACTTAAAAACCTCTGGAATTAAATAATGGTACAGAAATAATGCCTCATGTGCATAAGAAAAATTACCAGTACTGGGTCGGTACGAGGGAAATTTCTTTTGCAGTTCGTCTGAAAAGATTCACTTGCGTTTTGGGATCTTTTAAACATCATTAGGCGCGTTCCTGCGCGCTGTCTGTCCCTTCTGTGAGCGCAGAAAAACTTACAAGTGCTCACAAAGCAGCAGTTCGGGGATGACTTCAAACACATGGGTCCTCTGTCGGAATGTAGGAAAACCCGGACATTTTTATCAATCTCGAAAATCCCCCCGGACGCCCTGGACGTCCGGGGGGATTGTGTCAAGCCAGCCTCCAATTCGAGACTTGCAGTCAAGCCAGCCTCGAGTTTGTTTTCTGCTCCCTGTGTATTCAAAGTATTACGGGAAGGGAAACCGGATTTCAAAATAAAAGCCAACTTCGAGTGAATTAACAGATATGTTAAGAACATACACTCAACAAAAATATAAACGCAACACCTTTGTTACTGCTCCCATTCCCCATGGGATGGACATAGAGACCTAAAATTCATTCCAGATACACAATATAACCATCCCTCCCAAACAGTGGTCACAAATCAGTCCAAATGTGTGGTAGTGGGCACATCTGCTATATTGAGATAATCCATCCCACCTCACAGGTGTGCCACATCAGGATGCTGATCTGACGACATGAGTAGTGCACAGGTGTACCTCAGACTGCCCACAACAAAAGGCCACCCTGGAATGTGCAGTTTTTTGCGCTATTGGGGGTCTGGGGACCCAGAACCGGTCAGTATCTGGCGTGACCACCATTTTCCTCATGCAGTGCAACACATCGTCGCATGGAGTCTATCAGATTGTCAATTGTGGCCTGTGGAATGTTGGTCCACTCCACTTCAATGGCTGTGCGAGGTTGTTGGATATTCGTGGGAACTGGTACACGCTGTTGTATACGCCGGTCAAGCACATCCCGAACATGCTCAATGGGTGACATGTCCGGTGAGTATGCTGGCCATGCAAGAACTGGGACATTCTCAGCTGCCATCTGCCCTGAACAATGTGAACCATGATTCATCCGTGAAGCGCACACCTCTCCAACGTGCCAGACGCCATCGAATGTGAGCATTTGCCCACACAAGTCTGTTACGGCGACGAGCTGGAGTCAGGTCAAGACCCCGATGAGGACGACGGGCATGCAGTTGAGCGTCCCTGAGACGGTTTCTGACAGTTTGTGCAGAAATTGTTTGGTTGTGCAAACCAATTGTTCCAGCAGCTGTCTGGGTGGCTGGTCTCAGACGATCTTGGAGGTGAACCTGCTGGATGTGGAGGTCCTGGGCTGGTGTGGTTACACGAGGTCTGCGGTTGTGAGGTCGGTTGGATGTGCTGCCATATTCTCTGAAACGCCTGTGGAGACGGCTTATGGTTGAGAAATGAACATTCAATGCACGGGCGACAGATCTGGTTGAGATTCCTGCTGTCAGCATGCCAGTTGCACGCTCCCTCATTGCTTGTGGCATCTGTGGCATTTTGCTGTGAGACAAAACTGCACATTCCAGGGTGGCCTTTTGTTGTGGGCAGTCTGAGGTACACCTGTGCACTACTCATGTCGTCAGATCAGCATCCTGATGTGGCACACCTGTGAGGTGGGATGGATTATCTCAATATAGCAGATGTGCCCACTACCACACATTTGGACTGATTTGTGACCACTGTTTGGGAGGGATGGTTATATTGTGTATCTGGAATGAATTTTAGGTCTCTACGTCCATCCCATGGGGAATGGGAGCAGTAACAAAGGTGTTGCGTTTATATTTTTGTTGAGTGTATTTGGCTTCAAAATTTAAACATAACACAATTACCAAAGGCCTTCGAAACATGGTGTCTAACCAGATACTTGCTGAGAACAACATTGCCTTGGCCCTGGTGTGGGTCAGTAGATGTCTTAAATTGCAGTCTCTGATAAATGAGAATTTGGCTCCCTGGCACTTTCATCTCGCATGATGGCATTTGGTTGATAGTTCTTAAACTGTGATGGTGTTGACTTCATCAATATAGGAGCCAGACAAAATAAACAGCATTTTTCCATTTTAGAGCTTTCTGAAGTCATTGAAAACGCACACCGATATATGGTCAATTTGAAAGGGCCATTATTTTGAAAGGCAAAATAAGAATGATTGATATTGACATGGTATCACTATGGGGTTGTATACACTCAATATAGACTGCAACTAGTCTGTGGAAACATGAGTTTTCCATTCTCAATTAATTAAAAGAGTAGTTCAAAAATAAACATTCAGATGGCTTTTACTTTGAAATCCAAATGGCTTTAATATTGGCATGTTGCTACTAGAATACTGGGGTATGTCATTTGTATCCAACATTAGAGTGTGCAAACAAGACTAATTGATATTTGTGAATGTGCTCTTAATTTACTGGAAGTCGGCCTTCATTTTGAAATCATGCTTCTGGAGCTTTTATTTTGAAATCAGGTTTCCACGTCTTTTGCCATAATACTCAGAATACACAGGGAACGTAAAACAAAGTGGAGGCTGGCTTGACACCAGTAAAAGTGGACGGTTGGTCACCCTAGTTAAGTGTTGATGCTAGCCTCAGCTGCTTTTAACTGGTGTTAGTGAAACTTTCTTTGAAGCAGATCCAAGTGTTGGGCTTGGACCGGAGCCGGTCTTATATACTTATTAATGAAAAGCACATCAGTTTGTTGGAAGACATAATTGCACAATAATCTGTGTATATTTATAAGTACAACTATTTTTTTTTCCCATTAACCTCAAAATGACTGCCTGTAGCTTTATAGAAATTCAGAAACAACTGGAGTGTTTTCTCTGATATTATTAAACGTGAACTGAATCGAATCAAGAGTTTTTCCAAATAATTAACTAACTTCCTGTCTGTATATCAACGTATCAGTGGCTTAGCAGACTAACTGCTGCAGAGCAAATGCAAATCTAGCAAATCCCAAAAATGAAGCAGACCGGCAACCAGAAGCAGGACTGCACAGGAGGTCTACCCTCTGTAATCAAGAGTCCGTCTCACCACAGCTGGAAGTTTGCTGCTTGCGTTGAATCACAGAAATCGATGCCCATCACAGCTGTGGCCGTCTCACCTGCCGGAAGTAGCTCTGTGGACATGGAGGAAAGAAAAAGCCTTTAGTGTTTCCACACAAAAAACAGGCACAACTCTTAAAAGTCACATGAAAAACCGAGACAAAGATTAGGATGTGAATGTTCATACTGAAACATCTGAGACGTCCTTGTACAAAAAGTGTCCTCTAAGAAGAAAACTGAGATGGAGGCGCTGCTGACAACTTCAAAACTGCCACACTTTGTTTTTCTCTAAGTCAAGTCAACCCTGATGGACATGTTAAAATGCCCAACTCGAGTGATGAAGGCAACATTATTTACAGACTGGGTTTTATTAAGGTTTAAATTTAAGGGCACATAACTCGTGGCATGTGTGCCGGCTGTAGCTGATGTCAGGCCTCAGGTAGGGACAGTCAAGTCACTGAACTGTAACCACTGCGCCCATATTTATGGTGTTTTGCAGCTTTTTGATAGAATTACATGAGTAATATTATTGGTTACTGAGTGGCAGAGCTAGTTCAAGACATTTTGGTGAACAAAGTTACAGTGTTTTATCAGTTTGTGGCTTAACACTAATTATCAGGATACTGGTGTCTATGTGGTTGCCCGTGTACAGGTCATAGAGGCAGCTTGCAACCTGTTGCCGTTAGGTGAAAGGACAGAAATCCATCAAACTTGTATTTCATGTTGATAATAAGTTTAATGGAGGAATTTAAATGTGCTGATATGTATATTTTAATATGTAGCAGGCTGATGGTCCCCTTCTTGTCTATGAACAAACTTAAATTAGAATTTTCAACTTCATAGTCACAAAAATTCAGCATCTTATTTACAGCTTTCCCTGAAGCAAAATTATTGTAATAGAAAAAACACCGACATCTGCAACAAGTACGTCTGTTTTATCTGGTGTAATGAACAGTGCAGTTTCCAAGCACTGCCAGCAGGGTTGTATTTCATATGTCCGTGCATGTACACAGTGGACAATCTCACACACCGATCTCTGGGAACTCCTTGACCCTCATCCCAGACTGGAGCTTCACATCCTCTATGTGCAGGTTCTTGGTGTCGGAAGAGGCGCTGTTGGTGAACTGCATCTGCACCGCCACCATGTTGGCGTCAGGGCTGAAAGGCTGCCGGCTGAAACAGTACTCCACCGACAGACCCTCACCCGTGATCCGGTGAAGCAGCTCGTAGCTCTTCAGCGCGCTGGAGGGAGCAATGGTCTGTAAAAAGACCCCTCTGGTTTGTCATCTGCTTTAGTTCCCCCCCCCTCTTCATTTTCATTTCATCGCTTCACTAACAGAGAATAAAGATGTCAACAAGCAAATAATATGAAACACTTACTGCTGGGGAGAGGACAGAGTCAGACAAAGACAGCCCCTCCAGGTCGGTCACGAGGCTGTTGGATAGGAAGGTGTTGACCGGTGTGACTTGTGGTGAGGGAGCAGGTTCAACTAAGAAAGAAAGAAACAAGACACGGATGATGTTCCCAAATTCAGACCGGTGTGCAGTCATCTAATGGATTTTTTTTCCTTTGGCATCTTTGTAGAATGTGAAGGGGTTTAGGTGTGAATTAGCATCTCCAAGTCTGGTTGAGAGATTAAGTATCTTGGACGGTTTGTTTATGAATGAGGGGAGAGCATCGGTTTAATGGAAGCTCTACTTTCCTACCTATTCTGTGGACACATCTGTGGGTGGTGACCAAACCCTTGAGCTCAGTCATCTAAAAGGGGCTCAGATTATAGCTGCTGCTCCTCAAAAAGAGCTAATGAGATGGTTCAGGCATCTGAACTGCATCTAATTCAGAAGTGGTTTGTGCATTTTGAAATGGGATGAGATTCTCAGATGAAAGAGATGAAGACGGTTCTGGGAAGAGGTAGATGTGGACACCTCTGCTTAGACTGCTTTCCGTTCTAAAGAGAGTGCCATACATTTTCTACTGTCTGAGAAGAAAAGCTGGAAAGATCGAGAAAAAGAAACAAAAACAACTTACAATCATCAAGGTCGAGCAGAGACATTTCTTTCTTTTCTTTCTTGCTCTCTTTCTTGAGAGGCTTGGGAGGAGGTTTAGATTCAGCCGTCTGGAGAACAAAGAAAAACTGTCACGAATAGACGCTGTTCATGCTGCTGTATAGGAAAAGGGGCACAACTGCGCTCTCTTGTATTTTGAAATGCTAAGGTTATGAGAATTTTAGTGGCTTCTTAGATACAGGCTGTATCAAAAAGAATAATCTGGTTTAAAAGTGCTTTTATTCACCGCTAACGATAGAAACACGCACCGATGGAAAGAGCGGATTCCTTAGCTTCACATGGTTGGTGGTAGGTAGCATAACAACAGCAGGGGCTGTGTGAAACCTTATATTCAGTCATGTACTTCTATATTTATTGCAAGCTTCTATGTGCATTACTTAAAAAAGAAAACCCAGCCTTTTTAAATCTGATGATTGTTTTTGATGCACCCTGCTGCTGTGCACTTTCTCTGTAGTTAACCCTGGTTTGCACCTTTTTTTTCTTCTTGACCTCAGCCTCTGACTCCGAGTCTTCAGACTCTGACTGGCTGCTTTCAGACTCGCTTTCCTCATCTTCGTCAGATTCAGACTCTGACTCGCTCTTGCGCGGTTTACTCTTCCTCTGGTGCTTCCTCTCTTCTTCTTCGCTGCTCTGCTCACTGTCAAAGGAAACCAGAGGTCAAACTTCCCCCAAGGAGTCAAACTTTATTTTCTACAAACAAAGCGACCACCAATTCTAATAATAACATCCATAGTCCAGCAAATATGCCTGACATGGCATGCAGTGTAAAGCAGTCTACCTTTCGCTTTCTTGCACTGGCTTCTTTAGATCTTTCTTTTTTTTCTTCTTCTGTTCCTCTTCCTCCTCCTCTTCTTCTTCCTCAGACTCGGAGGCTTCCTTACTCTCTTCGCTCTCTGATCCCGACCCGCTCTCCTCGCTGCCACTGCTGCTTTCCGAGCCACTGGCAGAGTCTGACTCTGTGGAGGGAGAGGTCAGAGGTTAGAAAGGCTACACAGAGTAAGTGTGATCTGAAGGCTGTTGGTATTCACATCTTACACGGCGTCCTCTGACAAACAAAGCAGCTGGGACTGAGTGAGTCTGCGTGTTAAACTGTTTTACCATCAAAAAGAGTCGAGCTCATCAAAACCAGAGAGGAGATCAAACTTTTATTATCCTTTGTATTATTGATGCCTCAGACACTTTTTTCCTCCAGAGGCGAGGAAAAAGAAAAAAAGATAAAGCAGAACTTTTAACTGACATTCTCAGATTTTCTTTCAGCGTGAAGCTGAGGCAGACACATCAGAAACAACTAAAGACAGAGGTGTTTTATGCTACACCCGCACTCACAAAACTGCATATTGTCTATAATATTATTGTAGCCGATGATAGTTTCTGCAGCAGTAATAGTGAGGAATATTGATAATCTTCTTAAAAGAAGATTATCAATTAAAGATAACTGATCAGATGGAATCAGACATTTAGGGGTTTACTTTCTGTTTAATGTGAAATACTGTTGAGGTCAACAGATATTCAAAAGCTAGTAACAGTACCGATGTTTCAGTCAGTACTGCTAAAAGTAAGAATAATATGAAGCTCTTAAAAGAACATAAAACTATATTCAGAGTACAGGGATAATATCCAAATTAGCACTTCATACAGTAAAGGCCACAACGTATTTTGCAATTTCCCAAAAGTAATAGGATGTAATTTTCAGTGCCTAAACTTGAGGCTTAATAACTCTTGAAGCAAATTTGTAATATGTTTATTTGGGCTTTTTAGCCTTTATTTAAACAGGACGGGGGAGAAAAGATGGGAAGGCTGGGAGGAAGAGCAGGAGGACGACATGCAGCAACTGGTGATATACCTCACCCTATTTGTATTTTTAAGTGATTTTGGTGTATTTTAGACAATAAGAGACAAAATTATACTGGAAGTAATGAGGCTTTTCTATATTTCCCCATCTTAAGGTGTTATTAGAGTTATTTTAAGGTTGAGGGATGTATTCCTTAGTAGCTCTACTTCCGCATCTCACGCTGTAATTAATGGGGAATATTTCTATGTACTGAAAATTCCACACTAAACTCAGAAAACATTTTGGAAAATTACACAGGCAGCATTATAAACTGCTACCTAGTGTCTTATTTTACTTATATGATTCAAATCTATTTTTTAAAAATAACATCGTGGCCTTACTAATGTTCACAGAACTGCTTTTAAATGTTAAAATAAGATAATAATGCACTACATTAGGAAATCAGGATCAGCATAATTATACAGGCGTGCTTGTTGCTGTTAATGCACTTGCAGAATAAAGCAGGTGAAAACATTTGGATGAACAGATTTGTGCACTGGGAGTGAATGAGGTCCATGTATGAACAAGACAAGTTTTGTTTCTCTTCAGTTCTGCCTTGAGTCACCTCCAAATGTGGTCCTCAGATAATGATCCTCAATAAAAGCAGAATTGATTTGACTTTTGCTGCCTCACGATACATCATGAGGTCCTGAAACCTCACGAGAAGTCATGAGACAGCACCATATATACGCAGGTTAAAAGCAGCCGTTGACATTCTGAAATTCTTCATTACGTCTTTTCCATTTATGTCACGATGTCACCACCGCTGGCATTGACCAGCTCTCCACACACACTCCTATATAAAAATCAGCAGCCGCTCCCTCACAAATTTTGCTGTCTGTCTCCACATCCTCATCATCACACACTCATTTGAATTTGCTGGAAAATCGCTGCACATCGACTTGTAACCATCAACCCTTGATTGGTCTCTGTGTTTAGTTTTATGCAACATATTTAAACAATAAATTCAAACTCAGTACTGATACTTTCATCTGGTAACATTCTATATTTTTTTCCATTGCCAATAAATCAAAGTACAATACATTTCTTCCGTTCTTCTGTTAATACATTAAATGTGCATTAACCCCCCCGAGAAATAGTCTGCAGCCAATATTGTTATTGCTGTTGAAGTCTCTAGTTGTCTTAGGGCATTATGACCAATTTTAAAGATTTATACAGCTGGACTTGGACCTGAGTGCCACAAACAGGGTATGAAAGTTAGAAAGGATTGAGAGATGGACCTTATTTCTTTAGATTTTTATAGAATTGGTCAACAACACAAATCTCAAGGGCTTGCTCAAAGGGGGTGATATGATTATTAGGACTTATTCTGTGGGTCTTTACAATATAAAGCACATTGAGGTAACAGTTGTTGTGATTTGTAATAAAATTCAATTGATAATGAGCTTATTTTTTGAGACTGTCTCGTTTTACCAGCCCCTACCAAGATCATTCACACTGACTCAAAAGTCTCTCACACAAACACACACAAACACACACCCCTGTTGTGAGCACTACGTATTGAATCAAAAAAAATGACCATGCTATCAGTGCCAGCAGCCTAAAGTTACCACTGTCAGCAGACTCCGTAGGACCAGACTCTCCCTCTGAGTCGGTGTAGAACGGCTTTTCTACTTTCTTCTCCTTCCTCTTCTCACGGCTACTGCATTTGGTCCACTCAGGCACCTGGCATAAAACAAAACGGAAAAAGCGAGAGTACAAACAGTAAGCCTCCAGCCCCGCCTCAGAGAGAAAACCCTCAGACAGAAGCAGAAACGTGGGCAGATAGCATGGCCATGAGTGCCTCTGCCTGGGCGTGATGCAGCCAAAAGAAGCCAGCCATCGCTGCTGCAGATCTGCTCTCAGATCCCACAGCCAGGGAGCAAATTTACACCAATGCTTCAATGGAGCGAGTCGTTTACTTGTTTGCATTAGAGTTTTCTGTTTTTGCACACAAAGACATTAGCACCAGGTGTTGCCTTCATGACCAGTTGCAGAAATGCTTTTCTTGTAATAATATAGGAGCAGTTCCATTAAGAGAAGTGATATCTTTGAGGAGCAGTAACTATCCTCCTACACTTAAAAAGAAAAGGCCATCTGCTTTTTCTGTGACCAAACTCATTAACCAGAGCCATCTGCTAATGAGCACGGACATCTCAGCCCCACTTAATACCCACAAGGAGCCTAATGCTGCGTGACGTGCCTGAGCACCGATCTGCCTGCTGAAAGAATCACTTCTTTAATGGTAGAGACTGAGGAACAGGGTGCTGTGTTTCAGGTAGCTTTGGCTGAGCTAAGCACAGAACAGCGACTACTATATGCGGGAGGGAGGCATTCAGTTTAAAAGCACTTGGGTTTTTGCGGCTATATGGGTTGAGGCTCAAGAACGTGTGGCTGTTTGCCGCTAACTGACTCACACTTGTTAATGTTGTGACTCTTTCAAGCAGCGTAAAAACCTGGCAGACGTAGGGGAAAAAAAAGATTGGGATGGAGATGAGGAAAAAAGAAGGAAGTGGTTTCTTTCAGAATAAAAGTCAGGAGAGCAAGAGAAACAGGCACAGGAAGGTTTCAGGGGCTAAAAAATAAGAATGTGTGAGAACAGTTTTGGATATCACAGAGACAAAATAATAAGAATAATCCTAAATTTAATTACATGATAACTTTTAAACACAGTATTTGATAAAAGTAATCAAAAGGACAACTTCTGTTGGTAAAAAAATCAACATACTCCAATATAACTACTGGATATACCTTAATACGTACTCATACTGTCAAATTAAAAGTCAACATTAGCATTCACTACTTCACCAATACATCAAAAAAAATACATGAAATGCACTTAGTCTTCACCAGCAACAAAGTATGATATGCTAGCATGGGTTAGATGGGCAGAATGAAGAGCAGCACAGGTGGAGCAGCAGAGGGGTAGAGGAAGAAATCTGAGAACAAATCACATCAATCAAAAATAAAAAAAAATATCACGTGACAACATTTGTGACGTGATCAGCAAGCGAGTCACAAACTTCATGAAGAAAACCAAGCAGATGGACGGGAGGAGACCTGGAGGAGTCCCCGTCAGCAGGTCAAAATCTTTTGTTTTGCTTTAAGCTCTCACAAGGCTTCTGTTCTATGTTGGCGTCACTAAAAAGTGCACCTGAGTGAAAGAGAAACAATAAAATAAACAGATCTGTTCCTTAGTAGTGTAGATGTTTTTAACATTTAGAAACGTAAAAAAGGTTTTAGCTAACCCCAAAGCAAAACACCCTTCATCCTTCCACTACTGTACTATCTTCACGTGTCACATGACCACTCCTACGATGTCTATTTTCTATAGACCATGGAAGCTCCCCGAGCTTCTACAATGTAGCATAATGTTCATTTCAGTAATCTACCCTGTCTAAATGTTGGCTGCTTATCAAAAGGCACTGAGGCAGAACTAGCCTGGCATTGAGCATCAGCACTTCTGCTTTCTAAAGCAAAGCCTGGAAAAAGTCTTTAAGAATGAATAACTTTCTGTCAGAGGATTAACGTCTATAGCTCTGCTCTCACAATATACCTTCCTGCCAAATATTAATCTTTTCCAGTTCTTGTAGATCCTTTAATTTCACTCCTGCCACTAAATTACTGCTTCAAACTCGTTTTAGGGCAGTGTTTGGACAAACGAACAAAAATCTCATGTGCAGGAGGCACTCATCAGGTGGGTTTGGACAGCATGCACCTGTAAGCTTCACAGGTACATGTTTTCCAAGCTGGCAGGTGGAGAGGTTTAAGATAAGAACATGAAGATTTTTTCTCATGAAACTCGCTATATATTTAAAATTTTCAGCCAATATGAAAGAGAAGTCCCAAAACTGCTGATAAAGACAGTGTGATATGTTTGGAAGCCCCTGTTGGAGCTTAATGATTAAGTAAATCTTGAGACTAGAAGATTTTTTCCTGAGATTAAGAATTGATTTTGACTGGTCTCATTTACAAATTAGAATCAGCTTTGTTTATAAAATTAAAGAAACTTCTATCCCACTGCTTATTACTAAACAATTTATTGGACCCCTTAAAGCTGAACTCTGTCTGCTTGAAACAAACACAGTGGTCAGTCTTACTTCGTGTGAACTGACAGAGGATTTATCAGAATCAGAATCAGAATACTTTATTCATCCCGAGGGAAATTTGATGTCACCTAAATGGTAAATGGCCTGTATTTGTATAGCGCTTTACTAGTCCCTAAGGACCCCAAAGCGCTTTACACATCCAGTCATCCACCCATTCACACACTGTGATCATTGTGTGATATGAAATGTGTAAATCATTTTGTATAAATGCCAACATCAGCAGTTTAGACGTTAACTGACAGGCAGGGAAGAAACAGAGAGAGCAGTCATCAACGCAAACACCACTGCATTTCCAAACTCAAAGGGAGGGGCACCTCTCGCCAGTCTCCTAGTAAGCCGATCCGCCCCTCTCCGGTGGTTATGACCTCCTCTGTCTGTGGAGGACCGTATAGCAGAAGGAGAGTCTGTCAGAGAGGCTGAGGCTTCAGAAGATTCACTGACCCTCCCAACTTTAACAGCCACAACTTGAGTGGATGCAATGCGAGACTTTCAGAATAACCCAGAGAGGTTTTTCCAGCAGCTGAACTTCAGAGGACAGTACTGAGTGTTTTACAGCTCTGCTTGTTTTTGCTCTTTAACTACAAATGATGTATAATAATGATTTGAAAGGCACACTATAGCTTTTCGGTCTGATTTCTTCCCTCAGCACTCCCTATGTTCTGAAATTTGTGAAATTTAGCTTTGCTGCTGATTACAACTGCATTTTAGCCACGAGATATCAAGAGGGGAATTAAACGAGTCTGACTGGATATAAAAACACACACCTAACTGAACATAATCAGTATTAATAAGCTTAAATATACTCTTAAAACAAGGAAAACTGGCAGATCCCAGCTTTTGGAAGGCTGGCCACAAGTATTGTATGGAAAAAAATAACTTGTTGACTAATTTGCATGCATTTATATCTTCGTGTAACAGCTCATAAATCACTCTAGTAATCTACTGCTCATAACCTTTTTTTTGCTTTAGTGATTCCTTAATTTTTACACTTACAGAGTGCTAGTTTAGCCCACTGGTTGAGTGGGTGACGATATGCAATGCAGCAGAAACGCAGTGGTTTTAGTCCAATATCAAATAAAGGCAAAAATGGCCCCCCTGAAATTTTTTTCATTTTTTCTTCTTTTTTTTTTGTACATTTGCACATTGATAACTATATATAGATATTTACGAATTTGACAGGTTCAAGCAAAGGCAAGTGATGAGCCTGTTGCACCCGCTGCTCTCGCCCTGGCAAAGCTGTCATTTCAGCTGGTCGTGCACGGCTCCGTGTTTGTAACCTCGTGCAGGTGTCACGGCCGGTGCGACTCAGTTTGTGTATAAAAACACAGACGCTGAGAGATTCCCAGATCACTCAGAGGGAGAAAACTAGCCGAGCAGCAATGAAACTGTGAGAAATATGACGCAAACTGGAAAAGCAGAGAATTCTCCTTCAAAGTAAAAAATTGTGCCTTACTGCTGTGACCAGCACATTTCAAAAGACTCAGCTTTTACCTTGAAGGCAAACAGTCTCTGGTTCATGTTTCACTACCACCGTGCGAGTAAGTCCTCCACAGACTAAGCAAACATTCAGCAATCTGCACACGTATTTTTCCTTAGTCACAGCTGCATTACCACACGATAAAAAGCCATCCTGATGACAAAACAACAATTTTCTAAAAGTAAAGATCCACTTGGGAAAACACTGATGTGTTTAACCGGCTAAACTGTACAAACATCATGGTCAAGAACATGAAAGGCGCCTGTAGCACCACATTGAAATGTGCTTCACACTTAAAGAGACACGACATGGATTACTGCGTTGTGTGTTAAAAAGCAACATTATTGTTACGAAACACATGTCACAACAAAATCAAGCCTTGAGGTCACTACTGAAATTTAAAGTTTTGTCTCCTTTTCTTCTTTTTTTAGATGGAGTAGTGAAAACACTCAAGTCTTGATTTCACGTTAATTTAACTGATGAACCGATGGCACATGGAGTGAATGGGATGGAGAAGAAGAGGAGGCTTTGGAGATTTGGGCTGACAGACTTTTGTGTTTTAAGTATTGACTAAACATTAATACTACTGTCAGCATGCTGCTGTTAAAATCTGTTCTCTTCTCTATCGCATGTGCTATTGGCTCAAACAGCTGTCAGGAAACATCTGGATGGGGCGAGTGAGCTGCTGCTGAACAGAAGCGAGTGCAGCAGAGAGGATGAGGTGGAGCTTCATGCCACTGACTGTTTCTATAATGATTCGGGTGTTCTCAAATTAGGCACTTTCTGTCTAACATGTTCTCTCATTAATATGAAAATAATCCTCTTTTCTCCTTTGTGACTCATTCTCCTCCATGGATGGGGAAGTTGTTAAGCAGCATCCATTTTGAAGTAGATGGAGACCAAAAAGGATGAGCTGTTAATGCTAATGAGCTGTAAGCAAATGAAAGATGACCAGTGAAAGAGGAATCAATGTTATATTGGAGTTAGTGTCAGGCTCTGGTGACTCTGTCCAACCCCTCTGAGGCACTGCTCTGGGGAAGGAGCAACTCTCGCTCCCCTCCATTCTTTGGGGCCCCCAGAGGGCCCCTGTGTCTCTGTGTGTTACTGTTCCCACTGCACGCACAGACTCCTTCACCTCCACGTTGCGCACGGAGGGGTCAGGGGCAGCTTCAGGCCAGTCAGGCAACTCCTGGTAGCCCCCAGCCTTGGCATTCAACAGGTGGGAGAGTGAACCCAACTGGAAGTGGTCTCGATCTGCAAAAAGAAGGAAAAACAATGCAAGCACACACAGAGATCAGTGCAACAGAAAGAGCAGAGTCACTCTTATCATAACACAGAATCACAAAGTTCTGAGAAAGAACTTCAACAGCTTTGAATTTAGTTAAGCTCCACTTCAAAGTCATCTCCTTGTGCACCTCTGGACCCAAATCCTTTTTTGACTACATGCATGTGAACTCAAACTGAAGAAAACATTAACTTGTGTGGACCACTTCCATTTACAGCCCAGAGACCAAACAGGAGTTATTAGTGGAATTCAATTCAATTCAGTTTTACTTATATAACACCAAATCACAACAACAGTCACCTCAAGGCACTTTATACTGTACAAAATTCAGACGGAAACCTCAACAGCTGGATGACACCCCGTGAGCAAGCACAGGTGGGAAGGAAAAACTCCTTTTACAGGAAGATACCGCCGGCAGAACCAGGGACTGGTAGGGACGGCCATTTAGCCCGACAGGTTGAGGGAGAGGGGAGGGAGAAAGAACAAAGGACAAACAGCTAGAAGAGTGTCTAAGTGTTAACTGTGTCCTCCGTCCCAAAGTTGGAGGATCGCTGTTTCAAAGAAGAAGAGTGTGTATCACAGAGGGTACAAAGTGGCAAACAGGGAATTAAACCAAGGGAGAGTTCTGGAAATACAGACACCCTGGAAGTGATCCAGAGGAGCACAAGGAGATGACCTCAAAGAGGAAATCGGGATGAACTTTTAAAATCTCAAATCTCAAGACTTTGCTCTGTAATATGAGGATGAGTGGATTCTCCTGTCTTTGTTATGATTACTGTCAGGCTGCTGCCACGTGAAGATCAGAGAGCTGCAGGCAAAACCGCTGGATGTACTTTAGATGAATAAAAAGATGGACAGAATGTTCATGTGAAGAATAAAAATGCTCCCGGTGTAAGGACAGACTCACAGTTACAAAAAAGATGCGTGAATGCTCTGGATGACCTTTGGCTTTTGTAAAACTGTATCCTCAAACAGCTCTTGGACACATGGAAAAAAATCCCTCGTTCATTATTTCCAAGCTGTTTTGTAGATTTAAAATTGGAAGAAATTGAGACAATAATCCCTGGAAGCTTAAATCACAATACTTGTGGAAAAAAAGGATCTTATTTGTGTTGATATCTGACTGAGTTATGACTCTGAGAAGGATACGTTATATCTGATGCGGAGCCGCTGCTGCAGCTGCATCTGCTGGCTGTGTAGACCAAAACAGCCCATAACTTCCTCTTTCTTTCACTTTAGCTGTTTTTGCCTCAGGTGTCTCAACGTACAGAGAGACACAGAGCAGCAGGAAATTATGGCTCAATTTTCTGTTTAATTGATTGTGACTGTCTCATGTTTGTTAAGGCGGTTCATGACTGATGGTAATTAAACGCTAATAACATTGCTCAAACTATTTCTGCCATTATAATTTTCAAACAGCCGCAATACAAGTTCACAAACTAGAAAACAAAACTTACTGTTGACTTGCTTCTGTACCTTTAAAAGGAGACTCAAGGACGGGTGCAGGTTTGAGGGCGAGGAACAGCTTTTTAGCATACTTGCTTAGGGCTCCACTCTTCTCGGTGGGCACGATGAGTTGGCGAATGAAGCGTGCCCGGTCGCGGATGTCGTAGTTCTGGTCGTATTTGGCCAAGTTGAGAACATACTGCGTCAGCAGTTTAGTCTGAGGGGTGAAGGGACACGAAAGGAAGGTGGAAGAACAGTAAAACAACACCTTATCTACTGCGTTACGTGCATGTGCAGTGTGGGAGTGTATGTAGCTGTGGATTTGTTTGAGAGGGTCTAAGAGGATAGGACTACTGCATTAGTCTTGAGCCACCTCTCGTGTCGTAATATTTTATTAGAACATAAAAAAAAGATGTGACTCACTGAAATGTGCAAACATACATGGGAATACTGTATAAGGCAAAAACAAGAAGCTCGAAAGTCAGTATTTGGTATCACTATTCAAGAACAGTTCTCCTTGTTTCTTGAAGGACATTCAAAGCCCTTCTATGGATGTTGGCTGACCTTTGGTGCAGTTTTCTGTCACGATGAGCTCACACTGCTTCAGAAGTGCTGAGGCCCAAGCTCTAGGAAGGCCAATCCATAATTGACAATTACGAGGACACACCTGTGTGTTTTCTTATCCAGGTATGATTTTACTGTACAGGAAATGTGTTTGGTGTCCTGCTAAAAAGGACCTAAGCCATTGCAGGTCAGACAATCAGATGGTACTGCATGGTGGATCAAAGTTGACAGTCTTTTTCTGCATTCGTAATTCCATCAGTTTTAAGAAGATCTCCATCACCACTGGCTGAAATGCAGCCCCATACCATGACAGAGCCTCCATGATGTTTTACAGGTACTTGAAAGCAGTCAGAAACGAGCGCTGGACTGAAAATAAGTGGAAAAGAAATACCTCCAGAAAGCCTGGAGAACTTTTGCTGAAGACCACTTCAAAAAACGACTCTTTAGAAACAGGAATTAGGTGTTCTCAAATGACTCAAGTCTGTTTGTTAAATGAATGAACACATTTTAAACACAGACAGACTTCCTGGTATGAAACTTTCACAAAGAAAAACCAAAGGCATGTAAATATCTGGATACACTGACATGTTTCTGGTTTCATGGATTCCTGTAAGACCTCATCATGTTAAAAGAAAAAAACATAATTGGTGATAGGAGATTGGTGAAGGTTTGCAACTAGTCTGCAACTAATTTATAAGAAGACAGAGTCCCTGATTGAAAGCTTACTTGAATGATAAAGCTCAACACTTTTTTTGGAAACCATATGAAAATTGACTCTGAATGTGACATATTTGAGTTTTCTTTAACTTGGTCTGCATTGCAGAAAAAATCTAAGAGCACTTTTAATGAAGATATGCAGCGTAATGACTGTGTGAGAGCGTCACTGGCTTTATTTCTAGACTGCAAATTTACACAGTGCATAAGTGTAGGTGGCAACAATGTCCCAGGTGAGACTGGAGAAGGCAGGAAGAAGAGTGTGTGTGGACGCCACAGAGGTGTGTTTAGTGCGTTCTGTCACCTGACAGCAGCCTTGTTCACACAAACTAAATGAAAGCCAACATCATGCTCAGTCATTTATGCACAATACTGCAAGATCATTTTTAAAAACAACACGTTGGATATTGAATATAATCTCAAATGTTTCTTTTTTTGTGATGGTGATGATTTGAATCAGCAGACCTTGTTGATGTGTATTCACACTTATTATCAGGGAGAGGCAGCCAGACTATCACCATCCTGAATCCTCCCAGCTGCACCCTGCTGCTGTAAGCAATGAGCCTAATTTAATTAAAGATTAGATTTTGCCTTTACAACAGTGTCTTTGCTCACTAGCACAAATATCACTGCTGACTTGAATTTTCAAGACAAAGGGGATATTTGAGTAATTTATTCTGTGAAGTGAAATTAAATGTGTGAGTTGAAATGTTTTTATTCTGGATTAAATTCCTCTTCCTCTAAAATGTTCATACAAATGGGTCAGACTTTCCTTTCAGGTGTACCTTCTGCCACAAGTTTGTTTCTAATAAATTCAAACTTTTGGGGTTGAAACTGGTGTATTTATAACACCAAAACAAAACAACAGTCACCTTAAGGTGCTTTTATTGTAAGGTAAAGAATCTACAATAAGAGAGAAGACCCCAACAATCAGACGACCCCCTATCAGCAAGCACTTGGTGAAAGTGAGAAGGAAAAACTCCCTTTTAACAGGGAGAAACCTGAAGAAGAACCAGGCTCAGGGCAGGGCAGCCATTTGTTGTGTTGTTGTGACCAATTTGTGGGTGAGGGAAGGGAGACAACAAAAGGACAGCCATAAATACTAGTGACAGAAAAACATGCCATTCCCACCTGTTTGGAGTTGGTCAGATATAGCTTGGCTGCCAAATTGATGATCTGAAGCTTCACAATGTCCTCTTCATTAGTGAATGACTTGGCCATCTTCCTTAGAACATCTGGGGCGATCTTAGGTACATGCTCACAGTATTCTCCAATCAGCCACAGGATACTTGCCCGTGCCATTGGCACCTGAGAACACAGGTTGATAGCAAACTAACACTGCTACTACAGAGGGATATGACTGGCAGAAACAGGTTTACCGTCAATGTAAACGGTGGTTCAAGAGCCCGAGTCAATTAGTGAACACTTAGTTGATACCTGGTTTATAATAATAGATACTGAATGAGGCATTGAGGTAAGCTACCATCTGCAGGTCATGAAAGAGACTCTTACCTGAATGTTGTCGGTCAGTTTCGCCATGTGCTTTATGATGTCGCTGTGCTTCTCCGGCTGCATCTGCAGCAGCTTCTTGATAACAACCACTGACTCGGCAACCACCAACTCTGCACAAAAGAAAGAAGAGTCACTCGTTGAAATCAGAAATGAACAATAAATACATACTTTTAAACATCACTACTGCTCCGAGTCAATGTGTGGAAAGTATTCAGCATTCATTTACCAGTTCATTCACACTAGAAATTCACACTGTTCACTTCATTCTGTATATTTGTTCAACTGTCATGACATTAAGACATGACCAAGACAACCTGCTGAAGTTAAAAAACGAGCAATGCAGTGAGGAAGAAAGGTGATTTAAATGATTTTGAACGTGGTATGGGTCTTGATGCCAGACGTGCTGGTTTGAGTATAAGAAAGTGCTGATCCGCTGGGATTTTCCTGCATAACCAGTAACCTATAACCAAGTTACGCTGAATGCATAACACAGATGGGCTACAGCAGCTTCAGACCACAGCAGGTGACTGTACTGACACCCAAGAACAAGAAACTGAAGCTGTAATTCACACGGGATAAAACTGGACAATAGAAGAGTGGAAAAATGTTGCCTGGGCCGATGACTCTCCATTAATGAAACAACATTCAACAACAATCAGAGCATGAAAAATAACATGAAAGCACAGATTCAACCTGCCTTGTATCAACAGTTCAGGATCCTGGTGGTAAAATGGTGTTGGGGGATATTTTCTCGACACATTTTAATCCCCTTAGTATCAACTGAGCACCATTTAAATGCCACATCCTACCTGATTATTGTTGCTGGCCATGTCTACCACTTTCATGACCACAGTGTACCCATCTCCTGATGGCTGCTTCCAGCAGGATAACATGCCATCACACACATCAAACAATCTCAAACTCATATCTAGAACATGAGAACGAGTTCACCGTACTCCACAGTCATCAGGTCTCGATCTATTTGATTAGATTTTTTGGAATGTATTTTTCTCTTTTTACTTTTAAGTCTTGTTTTTGATGTTATTTTGCCATCTGTTCATACAATATGTACAGTTTAAAGAGTGTCTTATACTAACAAATAAAAAGACTCACCATCTCGGTTGGAGAGCAGCTGCACAAGACCGTTCAGACATGTGTCCCTCACCTCGCTGATGTTGGTAGCACAGCGACCAATGGCTTGGATTGTTGCAGCCACAAAGTCTTTATCCATGCTTTTAATATATGTCTGCCAGAAAAAAGCAGCCACTCTGCATATTAATTCATACAGGAAGACAAAGTTGGTTGCTGACTGACTGCTCTTCCTAAAACATGACTTATATTTTTTAATTGTACCTGAAATTCTCTGAGGATGGTGGAAATGTTTGTCTCGTTGGCCAGATTGGTTAGAACCTCCAGCTGCAAATAACAATAATAAGAATCCATCATGTTCTCATATCTCCACAAACTGCTAAAAACTTCTGACCATCTTCAAAAAAAAGAGAACAGAAAGCAACCTTTAGGACTTTGATCTGAGTTGGATCTGTTGAGCGGATGTAGAAACTCTTCAGATATGGTTCAAACATCCCCTGTGACACACAAAGACAGGAAGAACCTCCGTGAAGCTTCGTTAGAATAAAAATACCATTTAATAAAACAGAAGAAAACAGAAACACCAGCTTTAGCTCACCCGTCTCTTAATGGACATTGTTGCCACGTTCTGAAGAACAACATACTGGACTTCACTAAAAGAAGAAGACACAGAGTAAGTAGCGATCGAGGATTATTATCCTGATAACTGGTAATTATTTTGCTGTCAGAAGAAAACAAAATTTTTGTCTGAGACAGGCTAAGAAGCGAGGGACAAGGAGGAGCTTTCAGGAGGTCTCTAAAAAAATGACAATATGCAATCCTGATTCTTTTTTATCATCATTTCAACATCCTCATGACTTTTCTGTCACTGATCATGACTGAAATCACACCATCACAGACGCAGGACGCATGCATCAAGTGCATCGGCCATTAAATTGTTCCCCTGTTGTTATTTAACCCACTTTAGTGCCTTATTTGGGACCTCTCTCCATCAATACATGGCACTTTAAACAAATGAATTGTATTCTTTACCTGCATCTCTCAGCTTTTAAGTGATTGATAGAGTTTTTAGATTTTACATGGACCTGCTCTGACTTGTTCTTCTTCCCTTGGTATGTCATTACAAAAAACAAAAACAAACAAAACTCTTCTGCAGCTGTATCAAGGAAATCATTAGTATTAAGAGAAGTATTAAATTTCACCACGATTCATAAAGATGTTATTCTCACTTATAATTGAAACTGCTTGCAGTGCTTAGCCGCCAGAGTGCTAACAGCTGAATTTCTAGCTTTAAGGCAGAACAAGTGGCATCTCTACGAGTTGTGTTTTCTGTTTATTTTAACTTTTTTTTTGTCCGATCTGTCAGAAAGAACATATTGTTATTGCTAGTAACAGCTTCAACATCTGGATTTCAAAATTAAAAATGTTGAGGGTAATGTGACCTAGCTTACTTTTTCAAGCAATAATTCTTAATCTTATGCAAAAACTAAAAGAATTCCAAGAGACGTTTCACAATTGGCCTCTACTTGAAACTTCTGGCACGTTTGTAGCTACCCCTGTACGCCACAAAACGTAGCAAGTACAAATGTTTTAAAAACATTCCTGTTAAACATCAGCGCATTATTATTTAAGGCAGTAAATCCATGTGGTTATTATGCGAGCCCGGACGCCACAGAGTCAATAGCAATAAGTCTAATGAAAGATAAGGTATGGTACAATGAATTTTGGACGACTCTCCCACAGAGAGATGCTGGTGTTTGGTCGCTGCTGATTGATGATCCCATTACAACACACCCTGAGCCACAGGACCACTTGTGCAATAAAAAGCTGACAGTGTGCAGGACTTACAGGCAACAGGCCACCGATGTGCGATCATCACTCCTCATGGTTTATGAGTTCATGCTTACTTCAGCTTCACTGGGCTCCCTGTTTAATTTTACTTTCTGCTTCTAGGCATCAGCGATCCATTTTATTACGCTCACTTGTTATTTTGTTGTCATACTGTTTTCCACTTTGCTGAGTTTTGTGGTTGTTAAATCTTTTTTCCCCTCCCATTTAGCTGTGTATTTTTTCGACATTTCAACTTGTTTCCTGTTACTTTCTCCAGAGGGGAGGGTGTTTTAATTTTGGAAAATGGCGATACAGTGATTTGAAAGCAATTTATTTTGAAATTATAGACTGTAAAGCTCACCTGTGGCTCCTCAGGAGACGGACCAGGGCCTTGGCAATCACACCAACCTCCGCTTTAGGGGCCAGATGGAAATACAGCTGAGCCACAGCCATCACCACCTGGATTGTGTAAAGAATGAGAAAACAGAAACTTTTAAGTCTCACACAGTGACATAACCTCCCAATGTAAAAAAAAGAAAGAGGTGTAATGGTGAGTGTTGGGCCATTAATGAGTTTTGTTCTCTATTGAAAATTCATTCATTTTCAGCAGTTAATTACCAAGGCATCACTACCTTATGCTTATGTTGCACTGGAGATGACGAATGTGTTTGGATTTATTCTGCTCATGTGTTAAATATACATGAACAAACTAAAGCAAATACAGATTTGCTCTCTATTTACTGCTCTAGCAGTAAAAAGTTCATTCAAGAGGCAGGAGTTTTAAGATGCTCAATATGCATTGGAAACAGTTCTTACAAAGCAGAATTAATTGTGTAGATCCAATGCAGCATGTTAAAAAAACCAAAAGCGCATATGCACTGGAATGCTGACTGGTTGAAAAGTGGGCCTGAATAGGAAATGGAGCAATATTGGAGTTCCCCATGAAGACGACAAAGTACAAAAAAGCTCAAAAAGCAGCATGAGAAGCACCAAGAGCAGTGGACAGCTTTAATTGTTTCACTTTATGACAATGTTTCCTATGTTTTCACTCCTGTATGGTGACCCTGAGAGTTCAAATGCACGGAAACTTAAGAAAACACCAGCAAATAGAAAAATGCTGCGAAACCACAGAAAACACAACCAAAACTGAATAACAAACATTGGCTGTAGAAAAAACACAAAAAGGTTTTTGAATGTTTGTTATTACCCGTTTACTGTTAGCCTGTCACTTTCACAGCTGTTCCCAAAAAACACTCCTTATATGTTTTGTGAGGTTTTTTTGTGACATTTTGTGGCATTTGTTCTGTTTACATTGAGTTTTATTCTAATTGTGTCGCAGACATCATCATTTATTCCACATATTTTTAACAATGAGTCCTGTTGACTCGACAACATGTAGACAATGGCTGGATCACACAGGACCAACGCACAACCACGCTAGTCTTTTGAGAGAAAATAATGTTTGAGGCGTTCATAGGTGTGGTTGATTTCATGTGTAATTCACAAAACTTGCTCTGTTTTTAGTTAGTTTCATATCAAGCTCAAATGTTAATAGATTCTATAGTTCGGCATTAAATATCAGCTGTAAATTGCATGTCACAAACATTACTTTGCGGACCTGATTCTCCTCCTTATATTTCGTGGTTTGAGTTCTCACCTCTTACACATGCTGATAATCCTTTTTTTTTTACACCCAAACCCAGTTCGTGTTGGTGCGATGCATTAGTAAATCTGGCCCTAAACCCTTTACAGGATGCTTCCTCATCAGTCAGTCACTTCAGCCACCTCTAAACAAGAACTCTGAACAATGTTGGGAGAATCAGGTCAGAGTATTGTCCTTGTCCTTTCTTATATGTAGCACACAGCAGGAGACAACTGGAAATGTTCTATTTGTTTCAAGAAAGGGTAGACACATGGGTAGACACCTGAATCTCAGTTGATATTCATGAAAGAAGTTTGAATTGACACAGACCATTTCTGATTGTTTACTGGTAAATTTATGGGCTGTAAAGAGATGCAGAGCTGAAAAAAATGATAGTCTGTAGGTTTGTCACCATGAGACTAAGCTTCAATGCTGGAAACTTTAAAGTAAAAAAGACCAGGTTGTTGGTCTGCATCAAAGTCAGAGCAGTCAGACTGGAACCAATGACACTTATTCATACCTTCATCACCTCTACACTGGACTACTGTAATTCTCTCTATTTGGGTCTTCAACACTCGTCTCTCCATCGCTTGCACTTAGTCCGCTTGCTGCTGCGCGTCTTTTAACAGGTGTTAGACTGTATGAACACATCACTCCAGTTTTAGCAAATTTACACTGACTCCCTGTAAAATATTGTATTAATTTTAAGATTCTTTTACATACTTTTAAATAATATGGCGCCTAGTTATTTAAATGAATTCCTCAACATGTATGACCCCAAAGGAGCACTGAGATCATCTAGTCAGATGCTTTTAGCACAACCAAGGTCTCGATTGAAACATAGAGGAGATCGGGCCTTCGCAGTAGCAGCACCCAGACTCTGCAATAATCTGCCGGAGGAGACTCGTACTTCAGAGTCTATTCAGTCTTTTAAATCGCATCTTAAAACTCACTTTTTTACTTTGGCTTTTAATTCAAGTTCAGTATGAGTACCATCAGGCCTGTTTTATGTTTTTATTGTTAATTCACTGCCTTCTTATTTATCTATATTTGTTTCTCTATTTTTTTTTTCTTGTTTTTAACCAATTGTGAAGCACTTTGGTCAACTCTGTTGTTTTTGAATGTGCTATACAAAGACATTTTGAATTGAACTGAATTTGAATTGACTGTAGAAAACTTTATATACAGTCATTGGTTGGAACTGATACCTGCAAATATGCAACTGTCATCACTGGAAAAGGAAACTATTTGGTTTTCCATTTCATTGGTTTGATGCAAAGCAGGTAACCACATAAAGAGCAATTACAGCTCCATGATTGACTTTTCCACTTCATGCAAGATAAGCGAACACTTGTTGGCTCAGGAATGGGAAAAGTGTTTCATATTTTATTTCACCACAAGAAACCAGCTCGCCTACAGCAATACAAAGGTTGGATAATGTGTGTGACGGCAGAATTTCACAATATCTAACATGGGTCAAAACAGGCTACTCAAGGTGACCACAGCAGCACTAATGCATTGTGATGCTTTATTAATTTCCTTGGGGAAATTGCCCTCATTTTTGAGCAAGAGGTCAGCTCAGATTAAATGCTGTACACAAGGACACTTACCATTAAAATGCTTAAGTGTCAGAGGCTTTATAAGTTGAATGAAGACCTCATCTACTCATTAAGAAATGATTTTAGAGGGCACAGCCACTTTCCATGGTAGTGAGTCAATAGACTGAGTTTTACTGCAGGAATGTGTGTGTATAATTCAAAAGAGCAGAGGTCTCACAGCTGCGTTGCGGCTCTGCAGGAGCGGTTTGGTATTCCTTAGTAGCAGTCGGTGGTCTGGATCCATCACATATGGCTTCCTCTTAGCCATGGCAGCAGCCTCGGCCTTCTTCTCCTTCTCCTCTTCGTCTTCATCCTCATCTTCATCTGAGCCGTAGAAGGTCTTATCGCCGCTGCCTCCCTCCTCCAGCAGGGACTCCTGCAGAGAAAGTGATTCTTGAGGAGTGCTTTCAAGTTATAATAAAATTTTCACTGCAAGATGCAAGTAGATGTATACTTAAGAGTTCTGCTGTCTCATCCTTCCCAATTCAAGTGTTTAATCCTAACTTCTATGGCCACTGTAGGACTAATGTGTCAGTTAAGAGAGATAAAAAGCATTAAATTTACACCCCTTAATGGCTGTGGCCAGCCGGCATGATCTGATATTGTTTGGATCACATCTTCATCTGCCCCAGAGTTTTCGTGTATCTCTAGAAGGCTGTCAGCCCACGCTTTACCTTAGCTGTCAATGCTGTGTGAGAGGTGTCTGCATCTATTTAATCTGGAAAAGGCTATATAACTTTGTGAAAGGAGTTTAAGGTCAATAAGTCAGAGAAGCTCCCGTCTGACCGATGACAGTGATACTGGGTTGAATTGTTAAGGATACTTGAACTTTTCTGTGTGAAAGACTGCTGTTTTTGCTACTGTTAACCTGTTAGCCTCTGTTAGATACTGTTAGCTGCTGTTATCCGGTGTTAGTAAAACTGTTGTTGTAGTGGACACAATTTTTGGGACCCTGATGCTTTAGGGAATAAACTCATACAATGTGAGAATGTAATCAAACTGTTTATCAGATGTATATTGAGCTTCAAATGTATCAGTCTGATTTTTATGATACTCAAGCTTATCATTAGCTACCATTATGTTAGCTTAAAACTAGCTGCTGTTGCTCTTTAGCTGGCTCTTTTCGTCTGTTGACTGCTTATGTTATACTTGAGCCCTCAGTTCATCATCTGTATGCTTTTAGCTCCTCCTCTCTTTATCCTCCATTTAAGCCAACTTTCTGCTGATTGGCTGCCCCTTGCAAAAACATGGTTTGCTCTCATCGATATCACAACGAGGCAAGAGCAGAGAATGTGTCTGAAACTGAGCTCAAAGAGCAGTCTGGGGTTTTGGCTCACATGGATTACTTGGACCTTACATGAAACTTCAGCCATGTTTAACCTTCGAGCGACCAAATGTCTTCTTGTTAGAATGGTTTCATTAAATACTTTTATTTTTATATCTTCTTCTTAAGTGAGTTTGTACTGAACCTACGCTGTTTCCTTTATATATGAGACATATTTCAAGATATTCTAATGACACCCAATTTGGTTTTTAATGTTTTTTATGTTAGGACTTAGAAAATGTAAATGATATAAGACAAATTATATTATTTAGACATACCTTGCATGTTATCTCTTGCAAAACAAACCATCTGCATTTCAATAACACTTTAAATCTTGAGTTCCGTTTGAGTGAATTATATATGCAATATGCAAATATACAGTAGAAAAACTACACTGATCAACAACAAGTCATGGTCGGGGTGTTTTTTTCCCTACTTTATTGTCTCCATTTAAACCTAAATCTAAACAATTCAATGCCAATAAAAATTTTATAGCTGCAGATATAATTATACAGCTGGTTTGGTAGTCCACAATCTCATCGCTGCACTTTGCAGATGATGTGGTCTTTCTGGCCTCATAAAGAACTGATCTCAGTTCAATTTATTTATATAATGTCTATTGCCGCACGGTGCTTTATATTATAAGGTTTTAATAGAGAGCAACCCCCACAAGATAATTCTTCACGAGCAAACAACTCCCTTTAACAATAAGAAACCTCTGCCAGACCCAAACTCAGGGAGGAGCAGCCACCAGGTTTGTGTGACATACATATCAGTCTTGTTCACAAGTCGGGAACAAAGCTTAGCAATAGAGTGTGGAGCCCTAGTCTCTATCATTCAGGAGACTAGAGGACTCAGACTAGAGGGACTAGTCCTCTACACTGAAAGGAGCCAGTTGAGGTGTTTTGGACATATCCTACTGTGAGGAGGCCCACGATATGCTGGACAGATTATATCTCTTGGCTTTGGCTTTAGTAATGCTTCAGTGTCCTCTCAGAAGAGCTGGAGGAGGTGGCCGGGAAAAGGAAGGTCTGGATGTCTATGCTTAGACTGCTCCTGCTGCGACCCAGAAAAACAGCAGAAAATTGGATGGATGGATAATAGGTCCTTTTTAAATCGTCTATGAAAGTCATGAAATGGAGAAAAAGGAGCGCAGTGTGGAAAAATGTCCTTATTGTAAAATGGCTGCAGCACATTTATGGGTAATTACTACAATAGCAATGTTGTGGAAAAAAATTGTTCCATTTGGGCCTAGTCACTTTTGACAAAAATAAGTCAACAGGTGTGTTTATAAAAACTGATAAATATACTGAAATCAGGTGGCAGTGAGAGAGGAAAAGAAATGACAGGATGATTGTACCACTGCACAGTCACAGTAGTAGCTAATGTACCTATACACCTCTGCTGCACCGTAGTCACCCAATATGTGATTCATATGCAAATTAGAAAGTAGTGACAAAACATAATGGCTAAACTTATTTCTAGGGTTGTAAGTTTGCGTGGAGCGTTGTAACAGGCAGTGATGAAGCCGGTGATATTTTGTTTATATTATATGGTAAAAAAAAAAAAAAATTGTTTATATTATGTACTAAAATTCATCGATACAAGTAGAGTCTGCATGTTAGGTGTTACTGCTCCTCAGTATAAATTCACGTTTCTGTAACACACAAATTAGTAATGAAAGTATTCGATGAGACTCTAACCTATGAATCTCTTATTTTACCTGTTCAAGTGTGAACATCTGCTGCTTCTGTGTTTCTTACTTCACTCTCAGTTAAATAAAAACTGAAGACTGTCAGACTGAGGAATTGGTTAACCCAAGTGCAAGCAGAAAACTTGATGTATTTACAGAGAGTGAAAAAAGGCCACAAAAGGCTGTACAACAATGAAAAGAAAATGAACATCTCAAAATGGTCAATAAGATTAAATCCCCTAAACTGAGAGCGTCAACGACAGAACGCATGGCAATCTGACAAAGACAGACTAAACATACACTAAGAGGAAAGGATAATAAGGATTAGATGAATCAGACTTTTTAAATTCTCGACCGTAATCTCATGAACTCTTCCAATGAAGTCAAGTCAACGTGATTAGGAAAAGGAGGTAGAAGATTGGAAAGAGCAAAGTTGGAAATTGGAAATTTTTTGGACTGCTCTTCAGTTACTCACCTGCACCTTCAGAATAAATTTGCACAAGGAAGCGAGCTTAGGTTAGGTAAGGAACACTTGAACCAAGTAGGGTGGGAACAGATCGAAAGCGGGAAGTCACAACATAGAAAACCACATTCAAAAAGTGAAAGACGGACAAGGAAAAAACTCACATAGAACCGAGAATAACCAAGGATAATAAGAACAGTTTCACATTAGTCTATATGTTACTCATCAAAAATGTAACAGCTGTTGGCCTGCTTGCTTTCTCGTGCTGTGTGTTGCTTACTTACATTGATGTTTGGGTTGAGAAACTGCGTTCTGGCGTAGCGGGTTAGCATGTTGATGATGACGACCTGCCCCCACTCCTCAACATCAATCAAGAGATTACACAGCTTCCTGTAGTTCTTGTGGATTAGATCAATGCGCTCCGGACACACCTCTTCAAAAGCCATCACAACGCTTCCTGCCACCAACTGCAGTGCATTTCAGACCACACACATTAAGATAAAGTTCATGAATCTTCCTTTAGGAGGTTACAAGTTAGCCCTGTGAATTTTAACAATATCCATGCATTGTACAATTAAATCTTCAACGGTACAAAAAACCTGTAACTACTGACTGACTTCTGCAGTCTGTTTCTGGTTTTGTTGCATTTCCCAGAGAAAGAGCTAATGCAAAAACTGCAAGGTGAAAAAGGAGACTGGTTAAACAAATGATAAGCCTTGAAACAACCGGGGCATTAAACGCAATGTGGTGCTGTGCACAGCAGCTGGTCCCTGATATTTTGTGCACTGTGTGGTTTGCAAAATTGTATTTATCTTTGCTGGAAATAAAATCTGGAGAAAACACTGAATCAACAAAGAGAAGAGAGGAAAAACACACCGTGGTTTTGTCAGCGAGGAGTTTCTCTATGACTTCAATCAGCTGGTCTTTTTGTTCAGGATCCAAACTGAGAGGAGAGAAGAATAAATCAGTAAAAATGCATGAAAAATTGTTCCAGGAACTGTAAGTAATCATCCTCAAGGGTATAAAGAAAATGGATTTTACTGCTAGAGCAGCAATGGGTTCTCAGGAGTCTATTTTTTACTGCTAAAGTTTTACAGTTGCAGCAAGTCTTATGAACATTTGATCTAGCAGGCCTAGTAGTTCTCAGACTGGGAATCAAGGCTCCCACAAAGAAAAAACAACAAAGAATTCATAAAAACTGTGTTTTTCTCTATCAAATTTATATATTTCCTACTGTGTTAAAGTTTGTAAAAAAGAGAAATGGTCATATGAAAAATAAAGTTTCAATAGGACTGTACGCAGTCCTGTAAAAAAAAACTAAGCACACTCTTACTGCTTCCACTGGAATTAAGAGGGTAAGTAGCAGACAGGTGCGGCTAATCAAATGCACTTGATGAATTATGACCACCTCCATAAAAGCAGACAAGTTGTTAGTTTGCTGGTCTGGAGAATTCAGATGTATGTTAACACAATATTGAAATCCACCCCAGAAAATTTGTTCTCTTTTGTATGAATGTCTGTTTGGGCTCCTAAAAAACAAGATGCTACATCTCAAAGGGTTTATCCTGATACAATAAAGCCGTGCAATGCTCAGAGAAGTTGCTAAAATCCCAAGACTACACCGGAACTGTTAGGCATGCTGGTGAAGAGGTGATGATTTGGGTTTGTTTTGCAGCCACCAGACTTGCAGCACTTTCCAGTTGACCATTTACTTCTCTGTATATCAACGTATTTTATAGTCAGTTATGAGGCCATCTGACTAACAGCAAACTCTTGTCCCAAATTGGACCATGAACTTGGAAAATGAGCCCAAATACACCAGAAAATCAGAATGAGTGACAAAGATAAGAATCAAGGTGTTGCAATGACCCAGTAAAGTCCAGATCTCAACCCAGTTCAAATTTAGTGGTGAGACCTTAGGAGAGCTGTGGATAAATAACCAAAACTTTATAATGACTGTGAGAAAAAAATATGATCATTAGTCGTTATAATAACTGATACACTAAGAGCTAGCAACTCAATAAATCATGCTAACTTTGTTTTATAAACCTAAAACTGTCCTTTTGGGTTCGTACCTGTATAGTTTAGGGATTGCATGTGCTGCGGTCTTCCTGACATACGGAGACATATCCGAAGCAGCTTCTTTGATGGCCAACATCATTATTGGAACGATGATTGTTACTCTTATGCTGGAGAGGACTCGCAGGGCGCTGGCTCTGATCAGCTGGTTCGGATCCTGGAGAAGTACAAAGTGGTGGAAAAATACACTTTTAGAGGTGGTGAAATGTTGCATTTTGTTCATCGCAAAATAGTAATAAAATCTAAAGGAGCAATCTGTAGTTATGCTAGCAGCTCTGTGGTGCTGTTGCCGGGGCTAGTAGTTCCTGCAGTTTTATGCTAAACTCAGGATGCTAACATGATCACAATGAATAATATAAAGGTCAGTCAGTAATGAAATACAACACTGTTAAGTAAAGTAGCTTACCACTTTTAGGAAATTAGCACTAAAACACAGCACTGCCATCGCTGGTTCTAATATAAAATGTTTTTTAAATTTTATTTATTTGGTCGTGATTTCAGGCCAATTTATCCAGTAATTCCAGATATTTAAATCAATTCATTTTCATTTCATTTATATAGCGCAAAATCACTACAACAGTTGCCTCAAGGCACTTTATTTTGTAAGGTAAAAACCCTACAATAATACAAGGAAAACAGAAAGCCCCAACAATCATATGACCACTATGAGAAAGCGCTTTGGTGACAGTGGGAAGGAAAAACTCCCCTTTAAGAGGAAGAAACTGCACAAAGAATCAGGCTCAGTGAGGGGCGACCATCTGCTGTGGCCAGTTGGGGGTAAGTGGATGAAGACAGCAGAGAGACATGGTGTGAAAGAGAACAATTAAATTAGTGCTGTCAGCATTAAACTCGTTAAAATGACGTTAACGCCATAACCGCATTAAATCTCCGTTAGTGAGTTAGCGCGGATCGCCCCGTGCATGGGGCTGTATGGTGCTAACGCGTTAACGAACTAACCGCACTAACGCGTTAATTTAAGCAATCAATTCAGTTTCATTTAAGCTTTTTTTGTCCAAATGTTGTAAACAAGTTAGGCTTTTAGAGCCATTCACTCATAGTTAACGAGGGCTATCGTGCAAGCTAGGTGAATTGCAGCTAATTTTTGTATAATATGAAGACGAGGCTTTAGAAAAATGGTTTATATTATCTCAAATCTAAAAAATTGTCACATATATAAACTGCTGTACCTTCAGACCTCGCTGAAACGTGGAAATTGAAAGCAGAGCAAGATCCTGCTGCTCCTCAGCGTAACGCACCAAGTAAACATAGACCAGCTTCTTCACCTGGAAAGACGAACAGTAAGAGGGAAAGAAGAAACAAATGTAATCGTTTAAATTTTAACAATTTCATCCAACCTATGTGTATTAGCTTAATTATTTTCACTGAGATGAGTCCAGTAAGGCACAGTTATTAAAACATGCAAAAGTGGAGAAGGAAAATGCAATTTTGTTTATATGAGATAAAACTGCACTCCACGGAGGTTTGGAAAATGTGATAAGATAATAGGAAGGAAAATGAAGAGTGCAGAGCCTGTAGCACATGAAGCAACATGAGACTAGGTTCATTACCAACCTCTATGTTTTTACAAGCCACGTTTTTCACCACAGCGGGGAAGAGATCTGATGCATTTTTACCTCGGGCAATCATCTGCAGAGAAAAGACGCATCCAAAAAGCATAACAAAGATTTCACAAGATGGCATTTTTCAAGCATTTCAATTGTTGGCAAGAAAAAATACATTTTTTATGTTTTATTTTATCTTTTGATGCTTTTTTTTGTGCTCTTGGCCCGGCAGGAATGATGAATGAAAAGATGGGTGTGGAGCCTCAGAAGTAGAAATCTGACAGAGTATGAATATTTAACAGCTGACTGCACAGTTTGCATCTCTTATCACAGTAGTTAAATCATTGGAGGCAGCCTTTGTCTTATGGCTCAGAGCACAGTTTTATAAAATGACTGCATTTTGACAATAATACCATGAGATTAATCGCCAGTTTTGGTATAGAGAGCATGCTTCTGGCCTTTTCTTAGTCTCAGAATAAGTAAAACATTATGCATTGTATGTTTTGCATTTAAAGGTTTGACCTTGTGCACCTGTGTACCCGCTGATCAGTGAAATCTCAAGGGGGGGAAATCTGCCCCTTTCTGCAATGTTAATGTTCCAGCTAGCCACTTACTTTAGTTAAAAAATAAAATAAAGATTTCCAGGTTTTTATGTGAATCTACACCCACTGGCCACTTCATTAGGCCAATGAGTTAACTATTCATCAGCTCGTTACAGCATCAGTGACATCATCAGACAAGATCAGTTAAATAATAACTAAAGTAATTTTTTAAAAATTATGGTCATTATTAGAGACAGAAAGGAGGATTATGGGTATGCTCACTGGCTAATCAGATGTCAGCTGTGTGCCTTGGTTTCACAGTTAACACTACCTGTTGCTAATCATCAAGATGGAGACTGCAAAGACACTCAGCTCAGCTCAAGGCTTCAAAATTGAAGTAATGACAGACATGGTGGCTATGAGGATCTTTTGTTTATCGTCCACAGTAAACGTGACTTATTTTTGTATATATTTATTTTGTTTTGTATATATCCCTGTTGACTGTACGTTTTTCTCCTGTTTGCTATTTATTCCTGTTGTCTACTATTTATATTGTATTGCGGCAAAGTTGGTGTGGAGCACCCACAATTTCATTGTACATATACATTCTATTCTGTTCTCTGTTCTGAAATAGTGTTATACAACAGTATTATCCATGACATTTTTTAAAGCATGATAATAAACTTCATGGCTCACTCTTGATGTGATCCTAATTTCCCCATTGTGTCCATCTGATTTATACTCACAGCTACAATCCGCTTCATTGCCTCCAGCTTCAGGGAGTCTTTGTTGCTGTCCAGCATCTCTTTCAAGTCGTCATGTCTGTGGGAAGAAAACATTATAAAAATATATTTCACAGCATGGAAACCACCAAACACCCAGAATGCAACAAGAAGTACTGATATGTTTTACTTTTAAAGCTCAAAATTGATCAAAGACTACAGCTGTGACCCCAAAATTATTCTCTTTGAAGTAGGAAAGCCTCACAAAATAAAGAAACATTTGAACATAAAATACCTGGATAATTGGAACGTGGCATAATCGCTAAAACAAAATGACTTCTCAAACACAGACTGTTGATAAATGGGTAGAAACGAGTGTTAGAAATATTTTGGATGCAGCGAAGTAGAACAATACATAAAATAGAATACATTAGGTCTATCAGTATCATATACAGTTGTTTATTATTTAAATAAACAGTCTAGTGATTTTATTAGCCAAATGATGGGCCAGTGATCTGTGAATCAGCAGCTTGTTTGATAAATGATATTATTTCTTCAGCATTTTCTAATTGCAGATCGTCATATGCAAGGGTTTATCGCTGTTCTTTGGTTTTTGATTTTGATGTTGCAGTTTAAAGAACATATGATTACCACGCTAAATCAACAAAACGATGACCAAATCAAGTAAAATATTTTGTTATCACTTGCAGAGTTGAAAAGTATTACTAATTCAAAAAAATTATAATTTATCATATTTGTACTTGACCAAAAAATATAAACATAAGATTGTAAAGCAATTGTCATCTTCTCCAGTTGACTCTATATAAACTTTAATGATGATTCTTGCTATTAAACCACAAGATTTTAAACCATAGCAGAGAACGTCTACTAGCTTTTTCCTATTAACTTGTTCTTTGGGTATAAAAGCTTTTGCTGTTTTATTTTATTCAAGCGCAGTTGTACTTTGGCTAATGTTCATTTTCCACTTCAGGTTTTTAGATTACTAAACAGAAACCAAATAAAGATTTGAGGTGTTCGGATTTAGCTTGTAAAGCTAGTTTTCGATTTAGTTTTTACTACTTTTATTACTTTTGATATCAGTTTTTTACGGAGGAGGAAAAAAAAGTGGGCATGTCTTTTTTTTTTTGTTTCCAGAATTTTGAGATTAAAGTCAGAATTCTGACTTAAATCTCAGAAATCTGACTCAGATTTTGGACATATCCTTTTCTTTTTTTTTTTTTCTTTTTCTAAGAATTTTGACTTTCATCTCAGAATTTTGACTTTTTTCTCAGAATTCTGGAAAAGAAGAAAAAATAAATGTGCCCACTTTTTTTCCCAGTGGCCCTAATCCTCTTCCTTAGTTTCTGTCATCTGATACTGCAATATTTACAATTTATAATGTGTATTATATATTTTATTAACATTTGCTGCATCTAGACATAATACTATTTTTGGCTTTGCAATAAGCTCTGCTAGCATACTTGCCTCTATCACCTGTTGCATCTATTGTACAGTTTGTCCATCGTTGAGTGCCAACGAAATGCTGATACAGCAAACTGCAAACGCATTCTCTAGTTTTTATCCAGGAGCCACATGTGGATGACACGAAATTCCATCTAACTTGGACTTGGCAAAGTATATTTATTGTTTTATTGTATATTATTTTCTAACAGCTGTGCTTTGTATCTGCATACAGACTACTGTATAACAGTGCTTTGTTCTCCAGCTTTGCTCATCCATCATTACTGTCAGAAACAACAGAGCGGTCAGCTCACACAGCAGTCTGAGTAGATCTAAGCATCTCCACCCAGCTGCAAAACAAACACAAATAAACGGCAGTGACAGTTTCTACCAAACCTGCCTGTAGGAGAACCTGCAAACACTGGTTTCAGTAAGACAACACAACAATACAGACAGGAACAACTGCTGCAGCTGTCAAGATAAACACACCAGGCTAATTGAATTCTGAAATACTGATGGATGGCATTTTCATGCAACCTTAGCATTCATTCGGCTGCTTCCCCATAAATAAGATACAAAAAGACTTCACGTATTTTCATTCCACAAATACAGAAATGCATGACAACTTTGAGGAGTTGTCTATATAATACCCTCAATCATAACCACTTTAAATCAACTTGTAAGTCTTATTTTCTTTTAATAGTAACAGTGTACATATATATAAATTTGGCAGTGTTATGTGGGTATTATTCAATTTCTGCCCTTCAGCCAGCTGTTTAATTACCCACAATAACAATATGATTCAATAAAAGCAGCTTCTGAAATGTTTTCACATATAATTATGGAAACAGTTGCACTCATACAGTAAGTTTCTTTAAATCTGACATTACTTAGCACAAAAGGAAAACTGTAAACTACTCTAAAACCACCAAACAGGACAACTCTCTCAGCAGACAGACCTTTCATTACGAATCAGGGTCTTGTCATTTGGTGGTATGGGAAAAGAAGGGTGGAGTTCAGTTGGTGGTGGGTGGCGTGATTGCTGCACATTTCCCCCAGCGGGTTTCCAAGGCAACAAAGAATGCAATAAAATGAAGTTAAGTGATTTCCCGGTTTCCCGGAGAGCCTTTGTTGCATCTGACAGTATTACCACGTGGGATCATCATCGACTCTAACAACCGAGTCCAGAGTCTCTGAAAATTATTGAGTGACTGCACACTTGTTTTAGAGCAGGTGAGAGATGGGAGGCTCAGATGTGGCGAAACTGGGGTTTCCCCTCACACAAACACCCTCGCTGCTGGCATTGAGAGTATTTCTTAAAGCTTCTCTTTTAACTGAAGTATATCTGAAAAATAAAGGGATCTATATTGTATTATAGTGCTGGCCTTCGAATTTGGCTAATACCCCCTAAACTGTGAGACGCAAATGTAAAATATTGTTCTTTATTTATATCACTACAACATGCAGGTTGCAATATACAGCTTCTGCTACCAAAGTTTAAATATGTTATTAGTTGTATGAGCTTTTAAAAGACATCATTACACTTCTATAATTCATGTCAGATCCATTCATCCTTCTCCAGTTCAGACTGGAGGTGGCTGGAGCCTTTCCCAGCTGCAATGGGTGGTACACTCTGTAGAGGCTCACCTACATGTGAGACCCTTCAATTTAATAAATTAAATCAACAGATATTCAGTGATTACTACAGTAAGTGCATACATATTACTGATGTGCAGTTATATGTATTCTCCATATCTTATGGCATAACTGGGAAACAACCCCTCGGCTGTACTTTTCCAGCTTTCGGCTAAAGTGCCAACAAAGTTTTCGCTAGAGCTCCTTGTTGCCAGGAACAGTAAACCGCACAATCATAGACTCAGCCCATCCTTGTTGGTGCCTCATTGGCAGATTTGTATAAGGATGTATATGACTGTGTGCTCTGCATTTGAGTTACAAGTCAAAACACATTGGTCAAGCAGTACTGCAAATACTGCTAGAGCTGTAACTTCCTCAGATCTTGTCATCTTCTCCGTAAATGAAGTTGTGTCCAAAATGCTTTAAATTAAAAAAAATCAAAACATTTTCCTTCAGATTAAAATTAAAGCTATTGAGATATTGGACCCTCGCGGTTTATATAGTCTCTCAGTCATTAGACATTGGGGACCTGTCAAGTGTGCCTCACGCCCTAAGACAGCTGGGATAGACTCCAGCTCCACATGATCCTGAGCTCGAGAAGCAGTTAATAAAATGGATGGACTGCGAGATGGAGTTTTATAATTCATAACTTTAAAATTTAGCCTTATGAGGGTGTTGACATTAACCTTCAAGTGATTGAGCCATAAATTTGTACATGTGATATTTTACAAATGTAAACATTTCAGAATATCTGTTACAGGTAAATGAATCAGACCAGGCATGATGAGAGCCAGGAGAGCCTGAAAGATTCAAAAATCAAAGAATGTATGAGGAAATGATCTTAAAACAATGTTGTGATTAATTCATCCTGTGCAGTGTGAATGTATCTCCCAACACTGCATGTTATTTAAATCAGGCTCCAACCAGTGCTACAAATGACTTCCGAAAGAAGATAATCAAACTGCAGGCAGAACTTTTACTTACTCTGCTGTGAGAGTGGGAGGCTGCTGGGGTGCACGATATAATTCATCTGTTTTGGTCATGTGACAGCAGTGAATGGAGGCTTGCAGTCTGTGAGGAGGTGGCTGCTGCAGAACACAGTCGGTTTATCACGACTCTGCCCCGAGTTTAAAGTGTGTGTGCGCAGGCGTTTGTGTGTCTGTGTGCTAAGAAAAGCCTCTGCTTTTTGCTCCGCCAAGCATCAAAGTGTTAATAATTGCACTGCATTGCGAATAATATAGTTCACTCTGTCACACACTTCAAAAACCTGCACTCATCAAAGACTGTCACATTAAGACACCACAGCAAGGATTATTTTTGGATGCAAGTGCAGAACTCTTGCTGTTTTGTTTTTTTATATTTTGGTCAAAACAAACAAGAAAATAAATGAATGGATATTGCAGCCTAATGTTGATTTACAGCAGAAAGGGAAGGAAGTGGCTCATTTCATCCTTTAAAATAATGAAAATGAATCACAGCCTTTGGCTAAAACAAGTGATCATTTCTATCAACACAGCCTGAAACCTCAACTTCTACTTACTTTGATGTGGGAAAAACCTTTTTGTCTTTAAAAGTGAAAAACAGATAAAAATATTACAAGGCAAGTCTCAAAATGGTAAATGCACTGGTTCTTTTATAGTTTATTTCTGCTATAACTGAGGACTCAAACTGGCGTATAAAACAAAATGCCAACTCTTTTATTCATGTCTCATTCACCCATTTACAAACACATTGATACAGCAACATTTTCTATACCTAAGTGCTTTCTATCTAACATTTATACTCCAATGAATGCAGTGGGAGCAACTCAGGGTTCAGTATCTTGCTCAACGATACTTAAGTATACTGAAGCAGGCAGGGATCGAACCACTAACCTTCCGGTTAGTCGCTGACCTGCTCTAGCTCCTCAAAAGACATCCAACAGCTATAAAAGCGTCTAATGGCAGAATATGTACCTTATGTACAGTTATCAAGTGCTATCAGAGCACATATCAGGCCACATATGTGGTTTACCATGGCAACAGTCGGGTCATAGTGCAAACAGGTTTGTCGCAATAACTGTGTACTGTCGATAATGGTGTTTTTAAGCAAATAAATCACAAAATGTCTCAAAATGTAAATTTAAAAATACAGTAAGTCAAAGAGTAATTGTTTTTTGTATGCTTTTGTACAGTCATGGCCACAGACTCTTGCCAACTTTGGTAAAAAAAATCGAACGCTGACTCTGAATGACAGCATTATTGCAATTTCTTTTGAAAGTGAAAAATTAGATTTCATGACAGTGCAAATTTGTCTAAATGTCTAGAGTCTAAATGAAGACTTCACAGGGTATCAAAGTCATTATCCTTTATCTGGTGGGAGGTACGACTGTGATTTCAAATCAGTTTGTCTAAATGTCACATATGGATATGAAGCAAATGTTAACCTCATGGTTGTGCTGAAACCAGAGGATCACCAAAGTCATTCAGATTCATCCTCTGGGAACCATCCAAGTAGTGGATGCAGAGATATTTCACTGGAAAAGTAAACCTTAACCTGCTGATGGCACGAAAGGAAAGTCAGCAAATTATTTAAGTCATTAGGATTAATCCTAGTCGAACCCAAGTCCTAGACTGTGAAGGTAAATATGTTCATATGGGAGATGAAGTTCTGTATTTTCATAACAGAAATTAACCATATATGAGACAAATTTCCACTGCTTAAATTACACATTCTTTTTACCTCTAATTAAAGCCTGTGGCTGAAAGCAAAGAGGTGGTACTTCTACTGATTGTTATCAGCAACAATTCTAGAAAACAGGAAACCAGTAAATTATGACTTAAAGACAAAGTCAACTTTAAAATTTAGCAGCCACGGTGAAACTTCCCTATCAAAGGCTCAATTTGCTTTTCCAGCTTGTGTTGCCCCCCCCCCCCCCCCCCCCCCCCGATCAGCCTAACTAATTAATAAAGTGACAGGGATTAATGTGGCCTGTTTGATGACAAACAAGCCTTTAGAAGACCTAATTAAAACTGAACCTGCACCATTCATTACATTTGCTGTGGCCAAACATTGAATGTGTCAAACAGGAATGCTCAATTATTTGCACACACACACACACACACACAAGAAAAAAAGAAAATTAAAAGACTATATTGAGAAACTTCAGGACAAATAAACCTCTAACTGGTTTTAGACGTCCCAGCTTGAGCTCAAAGGACCTGCAGTAATTCAATACCAGCACTAGGTTTCTCATTTCTCTGGAAACCCTGTCCTGCTGAACAACAGATGAATTTACAAACCAGCATTGAATTATTTAGCCCAGTGTGGTACAACAGAGCTGATGGGCGGTCAGGTTACCTGCCACCATCGCCAAGAGATCAGCGGGACTCTTCCTTCTGGAAAGTCTCCATGGGATTTGGCCAGTGTTTCATGTGTTTAATGACACACTTTTAGGTGTAATGTCAGTTTGTTCATCAAGAACAGGGTGCAATAACACCAAAAGCAAAAGATATGAAAATGTATTTGCATGAATCAGCGGCGAGTGAAAGATTGAGGAGTTGCAGCTTGAATTTATAAGCAGCTGTTTTACATAAGCCGTCTCTCTTAGCAGAGCCGCGTCTTGTTTTTCCACAGTTACAGATGCAGAATTTGCCTCTTAAAGCCAACCAGAAGAGAATTTCTGTGCCTCTCCAGTCTTGTAAAATTAAAAGAAACTGCTGTAGCTGGTAGGTATGACCCAATAAAAATCTGAAAGTATAATTACATCTCCCTTGAAGAAAAAACAGCTTCTGAAGAGCGCTACACTGACTTTACATTTTAGTGGTTTGCAGTCTAATTAGTTATAGTAGCTCTATGGCCTTTAATTCATACACTCAGTCTAATTCCAATAAACAACTGCACTCCTTTTTCTAATTTCTTTAATAAATCCATCTGCATTTATACCAACCCGGTCCCCGGGGCACCATGACATGTGATAGCAGTTCCCTTCTTTTTAAAGCCAAGTCTACTCTGCACCACTGCACATGTTGCACATGTCCATGAAATGCTTCCTTATGATTCTTATAGACTTGAACCTAGATAGTGCGCTTTTATTTCATTAGTGCCTCAGTAGGAAATTAACGAGTAACTAGCTTAATAAGTAATTCCTTTAGACATTTTCTGTTTCCGCCTTTTCCAGGTCAAGCATTTTCTACTCGTCTCTTTTTTTATGTTTTTGTAAACTGAATATTTTCTGATTTGAGGCCATCAGACAAGGCCATTAGTGGAGAAAACAACCAGCAGATTGATGATGATGATGCCAATTTTCAGAAGCAGGTCTACAGTCTATTTATTCACTCTACGTACTAGCTATCTCAGAATGTGCAGTAAACTTTTTCTGCACAATACTGTGCAAAAGTATTGTCATCTCATTTGTTTATTTTTTGTGTCAAAGGAGCCAGACTTTCTTGTAATATTTTAAAGGGTTCTTAAGCAGCAGTTCTCCAGACTTTCTTCAGTTTTCCTTTGGGTATTAGCTGCTTTTGCACACATTTTTGGTCCAGTTCTTGTAACTGACAATGTTCAAGGGAATGATTTTGTTTGTTAAGCCACTTAATGCTAAATCATTTGAGCGTTAAAAAGGCACCAGGGATGAACTAGTGTTGTGTCTACATATAACAGACAAATTAGTAAATTTAAGTTGTATTCTTAGGCACTTCACATTACTTGATCTATGAAAAATGCCAAAGAAAACATAGTTTGACAGTCATTAAATAGCATTACTGCACTCACAAGGTGATTTCCAAAGAACTACTATCTTAAAACTTGGTATATTTTGGTACAGTGTGCTTTCCATCTTTCCAAAAATTGAGGAAACAACTATTTACAGCAGCTGAATAATATCTGAAAGTGATGTTCTTAAGAAATAGGACAAAAAAAACGGTGACATAAATATATGATATATTACACAAACTTTAAAGATCAGATCTTTAAAGAACATGAAGCTTGGATTACTGCTCAGCCAGCTAAGTGGCAAGTATGGAGAAGTATTTGAGTGAGTCATTAAGATCAGTTCGGCTAAATCAATTAATTTTCCATGGGTGTTCCTGGAAAAGATTTCCTCCATGTTTAACCAGCAGACTAATGCCTTGCTGTAAAGCCCGTGCCATTTGTTCTACAGGACGTCTAAGCAACAGGAGGCAAACATAGTAAGTAAAGACTGGATCGGGCCGCTAACACTCACTTTTACACTGTTAAGCACCCTGTTAGCCCATTTTTGACATTTTAATCTTGTTCTCAAGTTGCATTCACTGAAATCTGCCCTGGAAGAGAAGCAGCTAAATACTCTCTTATTTAACTCTAGCACTGATGAGTTCTCATCCTACCGCAGCGGTTGAGTTTGGAAACCACCACCACCACCTCCACCACCTTCCTCCAGTGGGGCTCGTTCCTCCTGGTCAGCTCCTCCTCCTCCACCTGTACCTCCAGATCGGAGGTGGCGCAGCTCATCAGGCTGGAGGGCGCTGTACCAAGCCTGCTGCCCGCTATCGGGAGTCAGCACGGGGCTCTTGTCCTCCTCCTGGCCTTGGACCTGACTTTGCACGGTCTTCACCATGTTCACCGCGTTCACCGGCAGCTGCAGCAGCTTTTGCATGGCGGTCATGTTTTAAACTTCGCCTTGACCTGTGGAACCACAGGTTGGATCACGTGGAGAGAAAAAACAAAGAAAAAAAAAAGCTGCGAGAAGATCAAAGCTTTCCGGTTAATCGGAGGAAATTCTCCTGGAGCTCCTCACACAGTTTTCATGCCACAAAGAGCAGCGTCAGCTACTCTGTTAGAAATCCTCCTTCCCTCTAAGGCTAAGTATGTGGACATTTCCTGCAAGACTGGCACAGCAAGCCTCCTCATAAATGCTCCATCCTGAGGAGAGGTTGCTGCCTATTCCCCATTAAAAATCCAGCGGTAGCTCCAGAGCTCTGTTGTATTTTTTTCTCTCGCTGTCTTCTGTTACTGCTGAGTGAAGCAGCAGACATCAGCTGCTCAGTAAATGGATGCTCGGCAGCGAGGGGCGTGGAGTTTTATCTGCCGTGACGCCTCTCCTTTCGCGACTCCTCCCTGCTGCTCATGTGGTTCCTGTTGCCGCACCAGTCACTCTCTTCCTCTTTACGCATATGTGTGTGTGTGTGTGTGTGTGTACAACATATTTATATCCCAGCTCACCAACAATGACACAGCCTCTCCCCACCTTTTGCCACGTTATCACTCGCTTCTCCTCGTGTGTGTCATCACTGCTCCAAATCCTCACATTAACAGCTAGAAACTGCACGTCTCCCCTCCACGCTATCACGCCGTCTATCACAGCTTCTTTTATCTGCCCTCACCTGGACTCAACGCCAGCAAGCCTTTGCAGAAATATTTCCTCCCTCCGCTCGCGCATTACGCTTAAAAACCTTCCATCCTATTCATTTTTTATAGCCATCGTTGTGCCTCTTTTTTTCTCTCATCTTACATGACTCAGCTTTCTTGGCAGTGTCGTGATGAGGACATCTCTCTCTCTCTCGCTATATTTCTATGTGGCTCTAAACAAAAAAAAGAAACTGCCTTGAAGCACAACTGACATAACGCGCTTCCTGTGATCTGCAGTAGCTCAGTGACAATTTGTTGACATTTGCTTAAGACTAATAAGATTTTTATCCATGATGTCATCAGGAGCAAACCCTGGGCTTGCTGCGCCGGCAGCATCTTTACAGTAAACAAAAAAACAAAAACAAATGCAGAAGATTTACAGATATCTGCAATTTGCTGTAGTTTTTTCAGAAAATACATTTGACAGTTTAACACATTTCAAACTCTGATCTCCTGATTCTCAGTTTAAAGCACTCAAAAAAGCCAAAAGCTGAACATCACATTTTTTTCTTTTAAACATCCAAATACAGTTGATTTGTGACAGCAACGACACAGCACTGCTGCTGGCTTTTCTTAACTTAGATTGTCTTTTTTTCTCTGTCTGGTCTTTAGGTGCAGTGCAGTGCTATCACACCCTCTAAATGAAGGAGGATGAGAGCAAAATTATATATGAAGACATAAATTAATAAACTCTCATATAGTCTAAAGTTGGATGATTCATATTCATGCTCTGTGTGGCCACAATGGAGATAAGGCTGGTACCTACATTGTGTTCGAGTTCGATGAAAATATTATTAACAATGTCATTACTATGCTAAATATAAGATCACAGCCAGTAGTCAAGCCTTAAAACCCAAGGAAGCACTGGTCACTACTGGCTATCACTGATATAGCACTTGTGTTGCCTGACAGTCAGTCAATTTAGGAGCTGTTTTTTAACAAATCAAACTGTGGAAAAAGACGCATGCATCCATTTTCATAGCTGCTTATCCAAATTAATTTCAAGGGGAAGAGTGAAGCCATCCCAGTCACTGATTACCTTTCTTTGTTCTGCGGGAGGAAACGGATGAACCATGAGGAAAACTACGTAAGCTCAGAAGGAACATGCAAACTCCACACAGCAATGCTCCAGTCACCAGAAGCCAAGTCAAATCCCAGAAGCCCATTCAGAGCCAGTAGTACAGTATAGTACAGACTAGTAAATGCAAACAATAATATTTAACACTGTTCAGTTTGAACAAAAACTTTAAAGACAACACTTTGTGGATATAAGGTGAGCATATTAACACAACCTGGTTGTGTTTTACAACGTCACATTTTAGGTAACTCACTTTTTTTTCTTTGTGAAGATATCATGTTCATATCTTAGTTTAACTATTTCACTCTTTCTGTCATAAAGATGGCATTTGATGACCTCCACTCAGTATACATCAATGAAAACATGGCTTGACAATAGGGCTGTTCAATATAACGATATATATCGGATGACGATATAAAAACATCTATCGTTTCATTTTACGCTATCATTTGTTTCGTGGTGTCGCAAAATAAACTGTTTACGGCAATATTTTTTCATCGTTTTGATGAACACTGTAGTGGCTATATTAAATTCTTAAAGTTCTCTCTTTCTCTTATATTTTCAATCAAATCCCGCAGTGCCAGACGTGTTCCGCTGCTGAAGCCAGTGCAGTTTGCCAGAGAGCACATGGATGATACAGCAGAGGATTGGGAGAATGTCATGTGGTCAGATGAAACCAAAGTAGAACTTTTTGGTATAAACTCAACTCGTCGTGTTTGGAGGAAGAAGAATACTGAGTTGCATCCCAAGAACACCATACCTACTGTGAAGCATGGGGGTGGAAACATCATGCTATGGGGCTGTTTTTCTGCCAAGGGGACAGGACAACTGATCCGTGTTAAGGACAGAATGAATGGGGCCATGTATCGTGAGATTTTGAGCCAAAACCTCCTTCCATCAGTGAAAACTTTGAAGATGAAACGAGGCTGGGTCTTCCAACATGACAATGATCCAAAACACACCGCCCGGGCAACAAAGGAGTGGCTCCGTAAGAAGCATTTGAAAGTCCTGGAGTGGCCTAGCCAGTCTCCAGACCTCAAACCCATAGAAAATCTGTGGCGGGAGTTGAAAGTCCGTGTTGCTCTGCGACAGCCCCAAAACATCACTGCTCTCGAGAAGATCTGCATGGAGGAATGGGCCAAAATACCAGCTACTGTGTGTGCAAACCTGGTAAAGACCTATAGTAAACATTTGACCTCTGTTATTGCCAACAAAGGTTATGTTACAAAGTATTGAGTTGTATTTTTGTTATTGACCAAATACTTATTTTCCACCCTGATTTACGAATAAATTCTTTACAAATCCTACCATGTGGATTCATGGATTTTTTTTTTCACATTCTGTCTCTCACAGTTGAAGTGTACCTCTGGTGCAAATTACTGACCTCTGTCATCATTTTAGGTGGGGGAACTTGCACAATCGGTGGCTGACTAAATACTTTTTTGCCCCACTGTAAGACTTGACTTTCTCTGACTTTACTAGACAGATACAGTGAAGACTGACCAGGAAAGAGAGACATGCAGCAAAGGGCCACAGGTCAGACTTGAACCCAGGCCGGCAGCTCTTAACCATGTAGTATGTGGGCACCTGCACATCCAACTGAGCTAAACTGGCACCCAAAACCTTTGATTTTATTGTTTAAGAACACTGACCTACGATAATAATAAAAAAAAGAAGCCAAGGCCTTTTTCGTTAAGTCTTGCAAACAAATAGTCACCTGCATCAGTCTCTGGTCCTTTCAAAGTCATAATTTATTTGTCTTACGTGCTGAAGGACAGTGTACACTTTTAAACGGAAGAAAGCCGATCTTTTCTCTGGATGATAATATACAAAAAGATTGGCACGATCTGAGGACCGAAGCAACGTTTCACATCCAACGTGTCTCCAAGGCAACAACAGTGAAGGTCGTGTTAGTGTGCTTCCACCATTATGTTTGCAGACAAACCGGTTAACCCACCTTCACTGAGCAAATTTTGACTTCTGCACACACACACATCTCTATATCAACAATATCCAGCCTACACTGGAAAAACAGTAAAGAGGGTGGCATTTAATCACAAGTAGTTTTGCACTAATGACTAATGTTTGCCAGACAAACTCGAGACAAAACCTCCTCCTCCTCCACATCCAAAGTCAGTTCAGAGCCTGAAATTCTGCCATCTATAGACACATGGCTCCCTCTGCTGGTGAATTATGGTGACGCTGAAGGCATTAGAAACTGAGCGGGGAATGTTCTTGCTTCACCCACACAGTCTTCTTATGCTTACTGCCCTTTCCATTGGAGCAACAAGTCGCCAGTCAGGGTTAACACAGATACAATATCCTCATTTCTTGTATCCTCAGTTCCTCTCCTTGTGCCTCTGTCCCTTTTCACCAAAGATGTGAGTAGAGGAGAAGCAGAAGAGACACGAGGAGAGAGAAACCAAGGTAACAGGGATTTAATAAATGAGACATCCTTTGCGTTGGAGCCTCATTTTAAAAGCATTGCAGAGTTTGATGCGTGGCACAACCGCATCATGAATTGTTTTATTTAAAACCCGACTACTGTTGCCGTTCACGCTATCAGATTTAATAGTGCATGTTGGAGTTTTTTATATTTAGGACCCACATGGCACAATGTGAAAGATTTACCTTTTCTAATCCAACACAGAAGCAGTTTGATCAGCTTAAATAATGGAAACATTGAAAACAAGTTATTCAATGAGTCTTCCTCTTGCAGTGGTTTGTACATTGCAGCTAGGGGTTACGACTCATGTACATGCTGCAGGTACGCTTGCCCACCCTCGATTATAGCTCCTGCAGCAAGCTTCCTCTTTCTTCTCGCCTCCAGATGCATTTTACAGATTGATAGACCCTTTAGCATGCCATACTGAGATTGATATCTAGTTCACAGGCAAAGGGACAGAGGAGGTATACGTTAGTGAAATTAGCAATGCCAATTCATTCACACTGACATTCATACTCACATCCAATTTAGGATCCAAGTGACCTAGTCTAAGCTAACATGTCTGTCTTGGATCTGTGGGAGGAAGCCAGGGGGAACCCACAGAGGCACCTGGATAAAATACAAACTCCACACAGGAAGGCCCCAGCTGGCCAGTGAATTTGAGTCCAGGATGTCTTTGCTGTGACACAACAGTGCTAACCACTGCACTAATGTGTCACCTTTGTGCTCATCATGTCCAAAATGAAAAATACTCTCAGCAGCCAGTGGTACTCTTCAGCCTCCAAGTAGATACACATAGGTATTAATTTCAAAATCCTAGGTGACTTCTTTCTTGAGTTATTGCATTCACAAGATTCTCAGAAAGCTTGACCTGTGACCTATAACCTTGAGGACAAGTTCACTGAGATGCAAACTTATCTGAGATTTTTAGCAGATACACCTATGTTATCAATTTGAAACTCCTACAGTGTGTCGTTGCTGCCCTGGCAGAATGAGAACAATACCCCATCAGGCTTTCATGGAGGGAAAAGTCGTAAAAAGCAAAAATAAAACTGTAGGAGTGCACGGTGTGTTAAATTGTCATTTCTATTGCACCGTTTA